GTGGGAATTTAAAGGCTGTAGTTTGTGATGTTTTTGTACTGGGTTCCATTATATTGTGTGGCAGTTTTAGTTGGCAATTTCTTCTCCACAAATGTCGATAAAGACATCCCCCATTTTAATCCCTTTCTAAATTAAATAGTACTATATAAACAAAAATTGAAGTGTTGCTAAATGAAAAAAGCCCTACATTTCTATGAATAACCTACCAATGTGATCTAATTCCTGAATGACCATTTCTGTGTCCCTTCATTTAATTTAATTTAATTTTATTCTATTTTAATTTCCTTTCTTTCCTCCTATGTTATTTATTGAAACTGTCATATTGTCTACCTCGCTCAGTTAATTTTGTATGGATGTCATTATATGAATGTCATGTGCCTTTTTAGATGTTTAAGGTTCAATAACGGTTAAAAAAAAGTATTTCTTCCTTCTCCATTTATGTAGCTTAACTGAATAATTACATATTGAACAGGGACATTTATTCTTGACGTTGGAAACAGCATGTGTGACAGAATTATCTCACACCTCAAAGGTCCACTTATCATCTGCATCTGATGAGGATGATAAGTGAAAAGTAAATAAATAGACCTCTGTCTTGAGATTATTTTGTCACAAATAAAAAAATCCAATACACCGAAGCTGAGTCAACACACAAACATGTAGAACTGTTGTCATACGTTAATCTGCAGTGCATCGTGTGTATAAAATCATTTTGCATTGCATGTATCTCATTTTATGATCACGCCGTGCACAGGCTAGAATAATAGTTTTGGACTTAAACCAAATGTATAGCCATGTTCAGTTTCTTTACATTTTGCCATGTGCATGCTACTTAATTCCCTCTCATTACACCAAAACTCTTAGTTAACACAGGAAATATAACAACAGCAACAGCCAAAACAAAACTATGTAAAACTGAACATTAAATTAAAGCAAATTAAGGGTAACAAAAGGCCAATATGATTGCATTCTACCATAGTCTCCTCATGTTTGTAATTTGTTTTCCAGATGATTTTGCCTTTACATCAAAAACAAGCAGGTAGGTCACATCCACAAAGTGAAGCCAGCGACCGAGCCAAGAAAAACAGTGTCATGTCATTCAAACATCCACCTGCAGCTTTGCAAATAAAACCTAAGGAGCACTAACATATTCACGCTCACAGTTTATCCAGTCTGCTACTTGCTTTTCCATTTTTACCTCCACGTGGGCAAATAAGGGGTCCTCCATGAAGTCACACACAACATGGATTTTCCCATGTTTTTGTTTGCGGAAGAAGTTTATATGTATCATTACGGAGCTCAGTTAGGATGTGTAATAAGTTTTTCAGCAAGAGGAAAATTACTGGATACATCGAAAAGTAAATTAATTTCCCTGAAAAGGACCACCGTGTACAGCAAAATGTCTTTCTTTGTCCAGCATAGGTCAGTCATGCTGGGTTCAATTTAATGTGTGATTTTAAAGGAGGTATGGATAGTGAGTGTGCTAATATCAACAATACTCATTATTTATACAATTTTCAGTCTTCAAAATATGTCAAAAGATGAATTGTATAAATACTTATTAAAGCTACAAATTGGAAAATATGTTTTTACATTTTGACACTGCATACAATTTCGTAATATAACATAAAATACAGATTAATCAAAAGAACACTGGAGAGAGAACAAAAGAAAGACAATAAAATGATTAAAATATGAGCATATAACATCAGACACAAAGATTAGTTTTAGTTTAATTTGGACACCTTAAATACTCTACATATGCAGCAACTGACTCTGAATAAAATATTTTAAGCCAAACACCTACAGTACTGTATAAACACCATGTTGCATTTGTCCCCCTGAACCCCTCTCCCTCCCCTCTTTCCATTTTCTACCAGCGGTGGTGAAAAGCTTGCCTTCTTTCTTCCACCCCTTTTCTTTCATCCCTCCTCATTTGTCCTGCACATCAGCCTGGATTTTCTCCTATTGGGTCCCCCTTTTTTGCACGAGCAAACCAGGTTGTGTGGGTGTATGCGTTCAGGGGAATGTGTGCGGTGGTGGCGGGGTGGAGTTGGTGGGTCACCAGCATTGGTGCGTTTGAGGTTAGTGAGTGGCAGAGAGGTAACAGAGAAAGAGTGAGTGACATGGGGAAAATAATGAGGGTGTGTGGAGAGAGTGAGTGACTGAGGAAAAGTGTGTGTGTGTGTGTGTGTGTGTGTGAAAGAGAAAGAGAGAGGGGAAGACAGAGAGTGGGCCTCAGGGTCGGTGGGGTCAAGACCGACAAGCTCAGATGAAGGATAATCTGTGGAGGTCCCTTACAGCGGGGGGTGAGGCCCCGGTGGAGCACGCCCATTCAGACTCTCCCATACTCACTCTACCACACACTGCTGCACACCCCTCTATTGCTCTCTTCCTCTTCTGTCTCTTCTCCTTCATCCTCCCTTTCCCCTCCTTTTTTGTTGCTTTCTCTAAAACCCACCCCTCCCATTTCTCTTGTTTCTTTTTTCCCCAACACAGTTGCAGCTGGATTTCAAAGGGCATTTTGCCAGCAGAAAAAGCTGAATGTCTAGCAGGCAGATCCCTCAGTCAGGCAGGCTGGGATTGTGGAATTCCTGCCTCCCACTCTTTAGGAACCGTTTTTGCCCCTTCGGGGGCCCCTGCCATAACTGCCAGCGGCCTCCTCCTCCATCTCCATCTCCAGCCTCAAGCCAGGGCCCTGTTTGCAAATTGAGCCTGACAAAAAATAGTGTGATCTGGGGGGGAGAAAAAAGGGGCAATGTTTCAGAAGGTGGGGTACAGCAGCAGCTGTCTATGGAGACCACTCTTTTCTAAATGATGGCATAGAGGGTAAACAATCAGCGAGCATTATAATTAAATGCACAAATTAATTTGTGTCCATGTCCTAAGCATAAACACAATTGCATCAATCAGTCCTACAAAAAGTCGGACGCTTTAAAATCCTCAAGTGGCAAAAAACTAAAGTCTACAAACAGCTGGCAGTACTGTGTGAATAAAGTTTCATAGCATTTTCAAGATCAATATAGATTTTGTTTGCAGGGTCTGGAAACATGTCAATAAGTACACCTGTCATTTGAGTTAGGGCTTGTACAAGATGCCAAAAGCTATTTTTCCATTTGCAAAGTATTTCTGATGAGTGAGAATATTCATCTATATATGATAAGTTAAAAAAAACACAGTTTGACTAGAAGATACACAAGACAATGGCATTAGGCGGCAACAATTTTTTTTTTTTACCACAAGGAAAAGGTGAATAATATTAGAATTGGTGCAAAGCACAGTGTGTGGTATTACTGAAGGTAGATTCACTTACATAGTGCTCTACAGACTCACCTCTTCTGCAGTCTAAACAGGAATAAAAGGAACATTTTAGATATTGTATGGTCATAAGTGACCATACAGACTGTTACTGATTACAGAAAAACAGGATACAATATTAAGACCTTGGTGATTGTTAGTTTGACAAAAGAAAAGGTCCTCTTATTTGCTTTTTTGGGAGCTTCCAACCACTTCTCGCAGTCCTCGTTAGTGGGAGGAGTTTGTTCAGAGTGAGCATAATAAGTTTTATTGGGTTTTTGTATGATTTGCCAATGATATCATTTCATTTATACAGCTCAATCAATAAAATAGAATAATTAAATGTGTGGATTTTCATTTTCAGTTGTGCCATTCTTATATAATATCCCTCCATATATTTCTCCTTACATGTCCCCTGTTTTTATTCCCTCCTCTCACCCGATGCTTCCTGTCCCTGTTTTTTCAGCCCTCGCTCGGTCCACACAAGCACAAGAGTTTGGCACAATGCAGGTAGCATATTTGGGTGATAAAAGCTCACAAAAACCCCTTTTCATGTGCAAGACAGATGTTGTGCCTGTCAGTGTTGTACCACTGAAGAGAGCCAGAGCATGAGTGAGTGAGATAGATCAGTGGGAAAGAGAAAAAGAGAAATGAGGTGGAAGAGGGGAGAAGGAAGGAGGGGGAGAGATCAAACAAACTTATGTTACTGTAGCAGGAGCCCTCCACCCCCGGCTCATCCACCTCCATCATTCATGCATTGCCAGGCTGACAGTAGAGCCTCCTATTAAGATGACATTGACAGTGGTCTACAGTACCACACAGTGTATAAACTAATATAAAGTAACTCCAACTTGACCCATACAACAGTAAAATGCTATTTACGCATAAATGCATCAGTATAAATAATCCAGCAATTTTCTACTTTTAATACTTACATAACTTACAATATTAAATGTACAATTGCGTGTGGTAGAGGAAGCCTTTAAATCTTTTAGCCTACTAAACTAAAAAGTACTGCAATGAAACTATCAATTAAGTAAAAGTAAGTATGTATTATTAAAACGCACTTAAAGTATCAAAAGTAAAAGTACTCACAATTCAGATATACTTTAATTAGTAATTATTATTATTATTATTACTGATGCAGTAGTGTGTAAGTTGCATATTAAAGTTGCAGTTGGTGAGGTGGAACTCATTTTGACTTTTTAAGATCCTGTTTATTGGTTAGTTTCTCTCTTAATCTGCAAAGAAATTGGTAACTAAAGCTGTCAAATAAATGTGGTAGAGGAAAAAGCACTCTCAAGTAAAGTAGACCGACATGTAACTGAATATTTTTACATTCTGGTATTTGACTCAAGTAGAGGATCTGAATGATTCTTCCACCCCTGGAGATGGATCATAGATAGAGGAGGGCAGGACAAGAAAAATAAATACATAAATACACTTTACAACCCCTTTCCTGTTGCATCTCTGCATCAGAGGGATGCACAGCAGAGGACTGGGCAGGCAATGAGGAGAGAAGAGGATTTCCCTTGTAAAACACGAGTGTGAGGCAAGGGAAGGACGCCCCCCACCTCCCACCACCTCCACCACACTTCTCCTACCGGTGATGTCAGGGCGGACAGGGGCTCCCTGAAAAGAAAATCTTCTGGAGAGAATGAGAGAGAGAGAGTGAGAGAGAGAGAGAGAGAGAGAGAGGAGTGAATGGAGGAGGATATTACTACTGCATGGACCGGTGCAGAGGAGCAGCAAGTCACTCTCTGAAGCGCACACAGACGCACAACAAAACCAAGACGAGCTGACGCGCAGACGCGAACCATGATTTAACGGACTAATATTTTTATCCTCTCTCAGAAATCACAGGAAAGCTTCTGCTCAACGCATACGATAGCTATTATATAGGGCTGGCACTTTGCACTGCACTTCAATTTGCCTCTGGAGTGACTTTGTATTTTTCTTTATTATTACTCTGATTCCACCTTGCAGCTGTATTTTGGAACAGGACGCACTAAATGATGCCGCAATGGTCAGGTAAAAATAAATTAAAGGCTTTGTGCAAAGTCACTTAGGAGTGAAATAATCGGATTTCACCTGATTTATTCATGCAAATAATTTTTTTTTTCAAAAAACAAAAACAAAGGACACTTCATCAACATTTTCCTCAGTAATGATTTATTTTTTTTTTTTTCAAATTTGAAATCAGCCTGGTGACGTTTAAAAAGTCTTTCTTTCCCTCATGGGCTTACTGAAACGCAGACGGAAATAGGCTAGTTGAAGTTTTTAAACCTGTAAACAGAAACAAGTGCCAGAGGCAGTTTTACAGGTTATATGAATGGAAAGGAGGCAAAACGTCGCCTCTAAAGGTTCGCGCAAAGTGCAGGAGTGTGCAGCTGCAGCTGCGCCAAGAAAGGATTTTGGATGAACTCAGCTGTAGATCTGGTTGCTTTCTGTGATTCAAGAGTGCAAAACGTCTCCTTTATTCAAAATCAATCCTAAATATAGCCGATACTAACCTCAATATGCAATGAGTTTATGTGGAAACCTTTGAATGGCATCCTCTTTATCAGTTTGATCCCTTTGGAGTGCACTTGATTAGGTTGCCCTCCAGATTAGTTTATCAATAGGTGAATTTTAAATTCCAAACCAGGCAGCCAAAACCACCATTTCTTTATTTCTGGATAAATGTTCGCAAATAAATCTGGTATAAGAGCTCCTGCTGCTGACCTGGAAACCAGAGGCAGACTTTTAAAAGCCAACCCCCCCTCCCCTTTATCTTCATCAAAACCGCGCCAAATACCTTCTCTAACCTGAGAAAATGTTGTTAATCAGACTATTGGCTATCTTCCTCGTCCTCATCACAAACACGTTGCTGCTCAGCCCGGTTCGCTCCGACACACTCAGCCGGCACAAACGCGCCATGGCCCGGCGGGCAGACGGTGAGCTCTCCAGGCTAGCAGGTGAACCCTGCACCGTCTCCGGCGTCTGGAAGTCCCGGCGGCAACCCCGCTCCCTTTCCCCGTCCCAACACCGCCCTCCAGCGGCCCGTCCGAGGACGCACACGAGCCGGAGAGAGCTGTCCACTGCCAAGAGCGCTGCTGCGGTTTGTGCAGGAGGGTGCAGGTTCGACACCGGGGCGCACCGGGTCGCTCCGGCCGGGGAGGATAAGGGAAGCGGGGGCGACACAGACAATGTGGTAGTGGGAGCGGGGGACCAATATGTTACATCCCCTGCACGGTCCTATGAGAAACGCTCCACAAATGACGGTAGAGACACAAACTATGTCACACAGCTGGACGGGACGTCTTTGCATAAAGATGCCCGCCAGACCGTCTCCTCCTCGGACCACGCGCGGTCCCCACGCGGCTCCCGCTCCAGGTTCACTCGCAACCTGGGCGGGACGATTCCTTACGAGGACGAGGGCAACTCTAGTCGGGAGAAAGTTTTCCCAGACAGCTCAACGGATTCCGGGGGACTTCAAGTCCTCTACGGGCTTAAGCAGGAAGGAGACCAGCAGTCGACCGGGACCCTGGAGGACGGTAGCGAGGACTACTCCGGGGAGGTGGAGGAGGCGGATGCGCCGGTGAGCAGCTCCTCTCCCTGGGGGAGCCCCCTGCCTAGGGTGCCCCTTTCCTGGATGACAGCCCTGTACTTCAGCGGGCGTCGGGAGCAGCTGAAGGTGAAGCCGGCTGCAGGGGTGGAGCTACCGAGGGCGAAGTTCAGCCTGGAGCTTTGGGTGAAGCCTGAGGGAGGACAGAGCAACCCCGCAGTCATAGCAGGTGGGTGAAAACTGATCAATGTCTGCATCACTCATGTATAAGGAATACCCATCGCTGGCATTTCACAAAACTTCCCCTCCTGGCCACACACTAAGTTGGTGTTAGATGCCACATTGCAGTAGTAGGGTAATACATTCATTTTTGTCAAGCACTGACCCAACTTACTGGTCTCAAACTCTACTGTAGACTTCTTCTTCTGTTGGTGTATTTATGTGTCATAAATTTATTTTATCATCCTTCTTCTTGTCATGTCTATCCAGCATCAGTCAGTCTCTTGAATTGCATTAAGGCGGGTCAGTCTCCGAATTCTTCTTTCTTCTTGCCTGCTATTACTTGTTCTCTCCCACTCTGTTTAAGTAGCCTAGATTTCACTTTGATACACAAGGCTTATGGTTGTTGCAAATAGCCTGTGACAGCTACACTATATCCCTAACATCATGTGAGTTTGCCCTTTAAACAGCACTCTCTTGTGCTGTGTGAAATTCACTTGGTAAATTTCCAAGAAAGAGATACAGCAATACATGATGACATTGTTCTAATGACATTTAGTGCTGAAATAGTTAGAGGATTTGAATTGATTGACATAAAAGTAATATAATTAATTAATCATTCAAGGTATTTATCAGGCAAAATGATGAAAATCTCTTGTGCCAGCTTCTCAAATGTGAGGGTTTACTTAATTTTATATGATGGATTTATTTGATTGTAAATAAAATATGTTTGCGTTTTGGACTGTATGGTGGACAGAACAAAGAACAGGAAGATGCATTGAGCTCTGGGAAATTGTGATGGACATTTTCCTCTCTCATGAATCCATAATGAGAAATTGTCACAATGGTCAGCAAGATGGCATAGAGCTGGTATATCAAATGCAAGACAGGTGCGCTTCCGAGTAGTGCTATGTCTAGTGCTGTCTTGGTCACAATTATAAAAAATCTAAGGGATGTTAATAAAATGGCATGTCCATATATGCACTCCAAAAAACACTATTCACTGTGGTTATATAAGTTAGTACCTCCCCTGCGCACCTGGGGATGATAACTTATTCTCTGTAAATACCACTAGAATACCACTTTTGTAGAACTTGGATTAAGGCTTGTTTGTTTGCCAAATTGTGTCAGCATAAGAAATAAAATGGTAAACCGAGGCTTTAGTATGGAGATTTTGTGTGTGTGTTTTGCCCCAGTTTATGACTCACGTTGTTATAATCTTTCAGTGACCATTTCCATTTACTAGGCATGAACGGCAATGAGTGGCATTTAGGTTTTTCCTCAAATTTAAGCCTAATTATTTATACATACATTCTTTACAACCAAACGCTCAAATGAACAAGTTAAAGCCAAAACCATAATTACCACAACAACAAAAACGCATGCCCTTGTGGCTCGATCCCCTAACCTAACTAACCCTACCTCTTGACCATTGCATTTTTTGGCTTCGGGTTCCACCCCTGCTGACAATACTAATAATTATAATGACTATAATGGGATAATAATACTGACAATAATATGCAATTATAAGGAGTATGATGGGATAATGTTACTGATAAAGATAACGTGATAATGTTTTGATGACAATGTTGTACGATAATCATAGTGGAGTGATGATGAATGTGATTATTATGAAAAGGGTAAGCACATTGATGGCTGGTAGTCATGATGATAATGGTTGATCACAATGGCCAAAGTAATGTTTGAAAGATGGTCATGATGAAGACACTCATTATTATTATTCCATTATTAAGGATAATGGTGATGTTTAATGCCTGTTCTTTATTTTGTTGTATACAAAAACGCTACATAAATACTGGTGATTCTGTTAAACAAGTTCTGAGGCTAAGCTGATCATTTTCACGATAATCTATAGTGAATAATTCACTCATTTATTATACACATTATTAAAATTCCCAGGGTGTGTTTCATTTAGCTCCTTTCTCATACTTAGCTTCACTGTTTCCATTGATTCTAAGCGGGGACTGCAGACACGCTGATCTTATGAAGCCTTCTTTTAACCAGACTGTTCACATGAAGATGAAGATCATTTTTTTCCCAACAAGCCAGTATCAAGGAGGTTACATTTGAAAAAACTGCACATTTGACTGAACAACTCATACATCAAACAAATTGAAGAGGATAAGAACGCTATGGTGCAGCACCACAGCTGTCCAGATAGTGAGAGAGACCACAAACTGTTACGTCCACTCACATTTACTCTGATCAAAGATCCGACTCCATTACTCAACTTTTTCCCCCTCATTGCTTCCTTATGTGAGGGCGGCATTTTGTGGCATAGGCCTTTCTCTTTGTAGTGTCCTGAAGGAATCTGACAAATACGGTGAAAAACAAACTCCTATTGTTTCTGCTAGACATGATATTGACATTGGTTGGACTTTTAATGGTCAGTGATGATCTTATAAATCTAGTTGTTTGTGCATTTCATCCTTTATTGTTATTTGACTTATGTGTTTAATATGTGAATATTTAGAGTTGAGGGTACGCTGCCACTGACACTGCACTTATTCTACATTTTCTTAGGTGCTGCATTATTATGGCATTTTAACAACATTTGTGGGAATACTCATGGGTTAAAGTACTGGCTGATAATAATGACCAATATTGGACAATATACTGGTAATGGTAAGCACACAATACTGTACAAGGTTAAAATAGCATGTTTAAAACAGGTTAAAAGAGGGCCACACATGCTGAGATAATAATGGCTTGGGTCTAAAAACAGGATTTAATTTTCAAATATAGGAGATAAAAAAGTAAAAAAGTTAATTCTCTGACTGCCTTCCTTGTTAACTGTAGAGCACCTCGTCCCTCATAGTGACTCATATTATCACCCAACTCTGCACTTCTCCTCAGCTCTACATAGCATTTTAGCATCTTTTAGCTCACTGATTTGGTTTATGGCCCACAACTTAGCTATTTTGGTTTACTCTCACCCCTCTCATCAACCTTGTTTCCAAATGCAGCGGACAGTCTTTTGAGCAAAGAAGCTCTGTTACTGTAAGCTACCTGCCCAGCATGAAATAGCAGAGAAACAAAATGAGCAACTAGGTGGTGAACGTAGTGGAGCAGTTAGCTGCTAAAGAGCCAGATAATTCCCTCAGGAGTTGGTGGAGTTAAAAGGAAAGTGAATATTGGACTTACATTGCCAGAAACATGACGCCAAGTGAATGCTAATGCTGCTGCGTGTCTGCTGTGTAAATACCTAATTGTTTGCTTACATATTCACCATAACAACTTTAGAAGGTGATATTGTGTCAATGTTGTGTTTTCGCGCTAATTCAGCTGCCCCCAAGTGGCCCAAACAAATGCAGCTTTAAAACATCAGTACTTAATTGAATTCAATATTGTAATTATGGTTAACAGGTTAGACCACGGCGGAGATGAATGGTAACCTTGGATAATGTGTGTGGTAGCTCCTATGTCTCACAGCACCAAGACCACATTTCCCATAAACCAGTGCAAACAAAATGTTGTCATTTCTTTGGCAGTACTTTTCCACCATGACCGTCTGCTGTTGCACGAGACACTGAAAACTCTAGTTCAATTCAAGTTTGACTCAAACAACGTCCTCCTGTTGTGTGCCGTTAAATAATGTACCTACAGCATAACGTACGCTGTAGAGCAATCTAGCAGATTTCCCCGGAAATGACCTTGTGATACAGATTTGCTAATGCAGTAAATGTAAAGGGTGACGTTTTGTCATCAGACGTATGAGTTGATTTATTGAGGATGAAGTACAATATATAGTATGTTTAGCATTTCACGTGTTACTGTAGTTATGTATAGATTGATACTAATGTATTGTTTACATTTGGTAGTACAGTGTTATCATGTTCACTTGGCAAAGCCACAGCTTCCTAACCGCTGCTTTCTTAAATTGAATTAAATGCTTAACCATCAAACTGGCTCACCTCCTTGGGGATATTTTGCTACAACTGCCCACTTTACACACATATGCATGTAAGCGTATACACATGCGCACACACATATGGTGTTAAGGAGGGTGAAGGGGTTCCCTGACCCTTCCCTGTCCCAGTGTAAGACATCTGGGGAGCATATGTGGATCTGTGTGTGTCTGTTGCAACAGCAGATGGAAACATCAGGGCCTTGCCTTGGCTGAGGGAAATACCTCCGTCCTTCTTCCCCTTTCTGTTCCCTCCCGCTGTCTCTGGCTCTGTCTATACTCTCTTCTGTCTTTCTCTCCCTTTCTGTGTTTCTCCACCTCTCTCTGCCCGCTCTCTCTCCCTGTTGGTCTTTGTCCACAGGACTGCAATCACTTGGAAACATTGCCTGTTTGTGTGTTTATTTATTCATTTTCATGAGGGCATTTGCTGAGAATATTGTATGTTTTTTCCACCAGTATTCTTTCCAAATCTTTCCCCTATTTCCCTTTTGCCATAGGTGTATTTGACAACTGCTCCCATTCACTGAGTGAGAAGGGCTGGTCGGTAGGCATCCGTACTGTGGAACCTGGCAGAGCCAAAGACGCACGGTTCTACTTCACGCTTCGCACAGACCGAGCTCTAAAATCCACCACTGTGTATAGTCACCAGCGGTACCGAGCCAATGCCTGGACTCACCTGATGGCCACTTACAATGGCCACAACATGACCCTGTATGTTGATGGAGCTAAGGTGTGTGGTTTTGTGGTCTTCACTTTCAACTTGTTGATCACTGAAAAACAGTAACAGTCCTCTGAAAAAGCAATCCCAACTGAAGTTCCAGTTACTAGTTTTTTTTAAATAAAATTTTTGGGTTAGATATCTAGTGTTTGAAAAATAAATTTCACATACAAGAAGTTGGATTTTTTTTTGTCTTTTGACAAAGGACAGGACATCTGATCAATGTACTGGCTATGATAGTGTCAGCCAATCAGATCATTTCGGAAAATGAGTGAATATGTAATATGCCTTAATTTTGGTGACAACCACATGGAGAGTTTCTTCTCAGGTGACATTGCTTCATTATGAGCAGCTCTAACACTTGGGAGACTTAATCAAATTAGACCATCAAGCATTTATTATGTTCATAACACAATAAAAAGGGAAGGACATTTGTTTCTGCCCCTCCTCTCTTCTTGGCTGTCATTTCTCCCTTTCTTTTCCTCTCAGGTGGGAGAGAGCAGTCTCCAGTCCGGTAATCTCTATAGTGCCTTCATGAAGACGTGCAGAACCCTCTTCCTCGGCACAAACCAATCAGATCAAGGACACAGCTTCAGGGGCCATATAGGGGGTGTGGTCTTGTGGGCATATGCCCGCTCTCATGAGGACCTGCTGAAGCGACCGCTTCAAATTGACAAAAGCGAGCCACTCTTGGCGATGTGGGCTGACTTCACCAATGTAACCGGCTATATTTAATTTCTACAGTGTCTGCAAATTAGTTGTTTTAGCAGTCATTATATTAGGCTAATTATAAAGTATTGATTAGCAGCATTACTTGTTTAATTGTTATAAATTGAAATTGGATTGGAAAAAGTATAAAAGTTGATTGAAATATTGTTGGATTTTGCTTCTAACTTTGAGGTGGAACAGCTATGGACTCCATACAGAGTTGGCCTCCATCCAACCATCATCACCACTCCTGTCCCTGAACAAGAAATTGTCTCCTCGTTCCTGCCACCACCTTGTGGCTTGACACCCTGCGACAACACCGACATCATCTTTGGCTACAACAGTAACTGGCAGCTCCGTACCCCAAAGCGAATCCGCTACCGTATTGTCAACCTCTCGGATGACGATGGTAAAAACCCCACCGTGTCACAGGCCCAGATCCAGCTCCAGCACCGGGCTCTGACAGAGGCCTTCCAACCTTACAACATCACCCTTGATGTGAGCGTGCACAACGTCAGAAACTCCAGCCTCCAACAGCGGTTTATCCTAAGCAACTGTCGGATTGGGAAAATTGGGAACCGCCAGTGTGACCCTGAGTGCGACCACCCAAGGACAGGCCATGATGGAGGGGACTGCCTGAGACTGGGGCCCTGCTACAACTGGAAGAGACAGGATGGAGTTTGTAACATGGAGTGCAACAGTATACACTATGACTACGATGATGGAGACTGCTGCGACCCAGAGGTCACTGACGTCCTCAAGACCTGCTTCGATCCTGAGTCCCCTGACAGGTGAGGTTAAAAGTCATGTCATTCTCACCACTCGGCTGTTCTGAGTTTCTATATTTGGCTGGACCAGAGCAAAAGGGGGGCCAGCCCAGAGACGGCATGGAGACAGTACAATACCTGATGTTGACCTTGACGAAATGAATCTGAAAACCTACTGCTGTGAGAAACGGAGTCAGTTGTTACGAACTATAACAGTCCAGCAAAGAGCAGAGTAGGTGTAAAACTGTTCTGCATGTGAGGCATGAGGGAGAGCGCACAGATAAAGCATCCCAAATAACAATCACCCTGACAAAACACTCCAGACAGAGTAGGTCATAAAAAAACAAGAGACGTCTCACAAATAGGAATGAATGAAAGAGCAGGGGGAGTTAAAAGATCATTAGTATAGTTATATAATTATTAATAGAATAAGTTCTCTTTGAAATTCAACATCAAGATATAAGTGGACAATTGTGCTCTTGCTCTCTTGCTGTTAAGATACTGTGAATGAAGATGGAGCCAATGGAAGACTTTTAATGTGGCACATGTGCAGGAAGTGTTGGGTTTCAGTAGCAGTACTGTAGCTTAACTGTGATCTCAAAAAATGGCAACATGGATAATAAAAGTTAAGTTGCATTTATGAGAGGGTAAATTAGAAACAAAGGCCTAGTTTACTTTCCACTTGAGATAAGTAATAATAACAACACGTTTTCAGGATACTCAAAGACACTAAAAACAATAAATAAGGGACTTAATCCTCTATTTGAGATTTATGGTAATTTATGGTCATCCAAATTGTAGTTATTATTATATTATATATTGCAGTGTCAATAGTGAAATTAAAACATGAATGAAAAAGACACATTATTATTTTAGTAAATTGCTTTCACTAGAAGGTTGTTGCTAGTCACAACATTTTATTAAATATATAGTGTATAGTGGATATCCTGATCGATTTATATTAAGACAGGAGGAAAATATAAAATGCTACATGGTAGGAGAGACACAGTAGAGAAAGCACCAGGGGGATAAATATTTCATTCAGTGAGGACAACATGTTTTTCCAGAGGCAAGAAGTCTCTGAGCATAAATGGCCACTAATAAGACTATTTCTCCCCATGAGGTGAATATCTGCCTTAACACGCTGCAGTGCTTCTGCAGGGCTGTGTAGCAAACAGCTCAACATGCTCCGTGTACAAATTGGTACTCTCACTTTCCCCAGTGGTTTTAGAGAGAGCTCTGAGAAGCAGGGATGGTGGGTTAAGAGGCCAAAGTACACACTTATTTTTACTAAACAACTCGAGCGGCAGCCCGCGGCCTTCCATTTGGTCTGACAGACAGGCTCATGCAGAGTTCCAAATAGCTTGCATGAAGTCTCGCCATGAAGTCGTCGGCCCAGGTTCTTAAAGACCTGATCCTTAATCCAAATATAAACCACAAGCTTTACACTGGGCCACTGGGAAACATGTGAACTGCAGCTATTTTTTAAAGTGATAGATTTAGCGCTTGATGTCTGGAATAGGCAGTGTGACGGCTTAACACGGGGATGTATTAATGTTTTTTATAAATCAGAAGAATAGCTATTTTTTCCATTTATATTTCGGTCAAATGAACCTCCCTTTAGCAATTTACAATATCTGTTATTACAACTCCTCGTTCCAAGTCCCAACCATATAACTAAAGCAAAGATACAAAATTTCCATCTTCATATCTCTCTATGATTTAACACTTATTCAGATTAAAAGCCAGCTTAATAAAAAAGTGCACTATGTATTAAAGTAATCATTGACACCATACATATGTATGGCTTCTTTTGGAATAAAAGAATAATATAATGTAAAATATGAAGTTATAGTCTAGGTCAGAAACAAAATGAATGGTAAATGGTAAACGGTTGATTCAAAATCACAAAGCACAATGACTTTGGCATTTTATTAAAGACAAACACCTGATTCCTCTAGTTTCAAATTGTGTTTATTATTAGCAAACAAAAGAAACTGAAGGAAACACTGTGGTAACAAGCATAAAAAAGGGTATGAGAAGGCATACAACATACTATGAATGATGGACTATGATTAAAGGACAGACAGGGGAAACGTTTATTTAACAGGATGAAAATAGTGTTAAGTGAATACATGATAAAATAAGTTACAGAAGGTTATTGATATTTTCATACTGACCAATTAGAACCTGGTGCCAATGTAAGTGTTTCTACTGATTTAACTACATTTTCCAGAGTTTGTTGCTTCTTCACTTTCCTTTGAAAATAAGGTGCCCTTGAGCAAGGCACTTAACACGACACATGGTTTGTGTGTGTGGCCAACACACAAAGACAAGGTGAACTGGACAGCTCCAACAGTAGGAGACTGTGTACTGTGCAGATCTCGGGTGTGAATTTGTGCAGCTGTGTGAATATGAAACAGGCTGTTGCTAAAAAAGAACATGGTGCTTGGTTGACTCTCCCTGGAAGACGCAGGTAAAGTTAGGTAAAAGCTTTTTTTTTTTTTTAAACTTGGCTTGCATGTGTGTGGTCTCATTGCTTGGCCATATGCAGGAGGTTCTTTAAGTGTTTCATGAGTAAATGTTAATTTATGTTGCCCTGTCGAAGAGCTTGATGGGGTGGACACTGTGAGGCAGACAGGAAAAAATATGGTTTGGTAGTTGTTATGGTCAGATGTTCCCTCTTCTCAGTTTGAGTTCTCTACCCCGCAGAGAGGAGATGGACACTAATGAAAAAGTTGGACAGCAGACAGCCCTCTGCTCTGTTGTTTTGCACAAACAGGGGACTGGTCCTTTGGCCTCAATTATATAAAATGCTCAGTGATTTATTTTAGATTTCATTTGATGGTTATTGCAAAGCATCTCCCAAATGATATCCACCATATTTACCTGATAATTGGAATCTGTTTTAGTGTGGTATATCAGAGTGAATTGGAGAGATCAATGTAATGTCTTGGTGTTGATATGAACATGCTTTTTCAAATCACGGCTCTGGATTTGATCTGGTTTTGTGCAGAATTTTTTTTGAATGAGAGACGTTCATAAATAAGGCCTCTGCTGTTCGGATTCTGAAAGTAAAACTCAAAAGTCACAGTATGTGCGCACTTCTACCCAATGATGTAACGCCCGCCAGAGTTCCTGTCTATAAAGCCCCTGACCCTCCACTAAAAACAACATGAACAGCCAATACACAGGAGACCAGAGTGTCGTAAAAACTGGACACAGAGGACTAACACAAGTGTAGGTCTTCTGGAAAGGTCCTGACCCCAGCTTGTTGAAATTGCTTATGTGTGTGAGTGCTTCGACATGCTGGCATGCATGTGTGTACGTGTGTCCCTGGATCCCAACTTGCAACTTGCTCAGAGAATTAATGTGAGGATGACATTTTTCTGGCATTTGTGGAGCACAGAACTTTTTTATGTTTGGGATCTGGGTTTTTGATATCCCCCTCCCCCCAAGCTCTTGAGCTCTTGGCCAGGTATTCAGATTGTGCGACCCTATATGTGTGCAGCTGCTGCTGGCCAATCCAGGACCAGAGGGTTTTTCAGCCAGCTGCTGTCACGACACAAATTTGTTGTTGAGAGCCAGTTCTAGAGCAATGGCCAGGTACACTGGAGATTCTGGCATTACAATAAAGAAAAGGGAGTGGGAAGGGGAAATACGAACAGAGAGAGAGAGAGGCAAGGGTGGAGAGGGAGTGATGGGGTGGTGGGGGACATCATGTCCATTAATGCTGAGACACATTGGCTAGCGTTTTTTGGTTAATACATCCTGGACAGTGCACTTGTGTGCAAAGCGTGCCAGGTAACTCCCCTGGAAGAACAGTCCTTTTCCAACCATGATGCTTTACGTGCACGTGGATCTCAAGTTTTATTCTGGTCAAATTTTATTGTGGTCATGTTTTATTCAGTAATAAAAACATAGCAGGCAGTGTTTCCCAGAACAGTGAAAGCAGCTCTACATCTGAATGAGATTGTTGATTCTGTCTCACATGTGATCCACCGATGTTTCCAGCCTTATGCTTTCTATGCTAGTGAGCGTGTGCCACAGCATGTCCACTTGCAAGGCCAAAATATTATAACTGACCCTTCTCTAAACCCCACTCCCTTAGTTACTGTCGTTATGCCTGTCTAGCTTTCTGTTGGGATGGCACATATTCAGTTTACAAGGATAGCAGTGGTACAATTATCATCACAGGCCTTACTCATTTTTGAAATAACGGGTCTTTGATTTCAAACAAAAGCCAAAAGCAGCTTCTCAGATCCTACTGATTTTGCCAGCTGATTTGATCGCTTTCAAACATGAACACAGTTAAAAGGTATTAAATATGATATGAACATACACTGTACATATGAATATAATAATAATAAGAAAAAAAAATAGCTCTTAACACTTTAGCACTTTAACACTTTTCAATACAGTTAACAAAATGCTTTCCATCAATTCCCATTATACATGAGTTTACAGCAATATATGAAACATAAACAAGGCCATATACAAATAAAGGAAAAATAAACATCACACAGTAAAAGCATTTTCTTAAAATAAAAATGTGTCTTAAGAAGTAAAATAAAACTGGGGACAGACTCTGGTAGATTGTTCCAGAGTGTGGGGGCCCTGACAGCTAAGGCCCTGTCTCCTTTGGTTTTTTGCCTAGGTCTAGGAATGGCTAGCAATGCTCTATCAGAGGGTCTTAGTCTGTGTCCCAGGCTCATAGGGGGATAAAAGCTCAGAGACATAGGAAAGTAGCTTGCTAGAGTGTAAAATTCCCTGAATACGATAGTGAGCTAACGTTACTGTTAATGCTGATAACGGCTAGGATCGGCTTCCTCACAGTGAGGAAATACTGTGCATCAGCTATCATGAACAAGGCTTTCTTTATTCTTTTTTACAAAGAAGATCTGTGACCCCACAAAATAATGTAGTATGAAATGCTCCTTGGGTGTCGAAGTAATGCTAGGTTAGGTTACTGACAGACCACAATGTTCAATCCATACCTTTAATTTTGGTTTTATGTTTTTGGTTGTGAAAAGGCAAAAACAATGACCGTCCACCAAACTCTTTAGATACAGAGTATCACTCTTACTACACTCACTACAGCCCAATGCACACTGCTTGAAGTTACTGAGAAAGCTTGACAGGCCTGCCATGCCTAGTTACGGTTGCTAAGCTAGAATTGGACAGGTGCTGTTCTGTTGGTTTGGCGTTGACCCGGCTCTCCAAATTTAAAACTCGGTTGCATGCAACGCAACTACTTTGTTGTGGGTGAGTGGTTCTCGGTATGTGCTGGCTCCTGCACTGAAGCACTCTGTGCTCATGCAATGAAAGTAACTTTTAATACATTACCTGAGTGCTGGTGTCTTCTCCTAGCACTGTATTCATCAAGACCTGTAGATCAACTGTTTGGATAGAAGTTGCTGCGTATTTACTTTATTTCAGCACGTAACATTGTACAAAAGCAAGTGAGGTGCTCAGTAAAATATATTTTGTGTTTCACTGCCGTTGGTGTGTGTCTTCTGATTCTTGAAGGTTCAAAGTAGCTAACTTGTCAACAATAATATTTAAAGTAGACACACATCTACAGTTTTATATGGTGACAGTGCTAGTGCTGACTCTGCTGTTGATTCACACAGTGAACTTGCCCACAAATGGTAATTTTGTTAATTCATAACCATGGTTTTCACTTCAATCATGTAGAGTCATTTATTTATTGCCAGGTTGGCATTAGGCTTCCATTGAGGCATCCTCTGAGTCTCAGAAGTTGAAGAGTCAACTCTTTAGTGGTCAACTTTCTGTCACTTGTAATTGCGCAGCCTAAGGTGATGGGATACTGCATGCAGCCTCGGCTGAACTCAGCTTCAGTTATGTAGTGAGAGGAGGGTTTCCCTTAAGCATCTTAAATCTTAAACCTCATTTAGTCAGGCAAAGTGCCTGAGAAAACACATTCTTATTTACAGTGCAACACATGCACTCAGGGAGGGATTGCATTAGGGGGAGGATTACACACATGCAGGGCTCTTGGCTGCTGAGCAACACCTTTGGACCAATTTGCTGGTGAAGTGCCTCACTTAATGGTACTCTCACAGTAGTGTATGGGAGGATAGGGATTACTGCTTTCTTATTTCATCCATCTATATTTTTCCCAGCTGAAAGCTGAGATGTTACGGTCAAAAGCTCACCTGTCTATCCTCCAGGCTCTTGGAACAATATAAGCAGCACTGAGCCAAAGCTAAAGAGTATTTTTAATGAGAAATTATATAAATTATATCACTGATGGAAAGAAAATGAGCACTTTAAACCTTTTAAGATTAAAGCATGATTAAGTAATGTTACTAAATGTATCCCTACAGCTGAGCTTAATCGAAACCATAACCCTTAACTTCTTTTTAAGAAATGTACATAGTGATGTAGGTAAAGATTAAAGCATGTCTTTATATAATTTTAACAGCCCCTCAGCTGAACTTCAATCACATAAAACCTTAACTCCCTGCTTGAGAAATACAACATGAAACAATTATCCATTACGTTATAACCATCAAAACACACTGAAATCCAAAGCTTTGCCTGTGCAAGAAGAAAAGGAAAACAAGACTTCACAAACAAAATGTATTGCTGATTTGACTCAATACTAATGCACCAGTGGAAGACTTAGCAGCGTTGATATTACCCTGTACATAAAGCAGATAGAAGGAAGTGCATGCACACAGATACACACAGTTAACGTCTTTGCATCCAGTAATATTAGAGGTTTGTTTGTAGCTTGTTTTCCCCTGCTAATTATTGGCAAGTTACTTCTTTTTTTTTTTGTTCTCTCTCTGTACGGTAAAGACTTTTGCAACACAGCGTCCACAGAATGTATTTGAAACATTTTCAGTTCTTTATGTATTTGTGACGCCCAGAGTGAATTTGCATCTTTGCGTCTAAACACACCATAACAGTAACCACATATTCATCTGCTCTGCAAGTTCTGGCTTTCCAGTTAGCCCACTATCTTCATTTACCAAGGAAACAAGGAAAATAGTTGTGTTTAGCTCAAAAGAGTAGGTTCAATATTACTCAAAGTTCAGAGCTTCTACAAGGATGTACTCTTGCAATGTGCAACGTATGATTTTGGATTCACTTTTTTAGCTCAGTTTACTTTCATGAATGCTAATGGCATAGATAATTTATAAATTACATTCAAATTCAGTTTTAACTGTAAGGTCTACCAGACCTTTACATTTACTACAACTTATAATGATTATATTAATGTGGTAATATTTTCATGTTTTCTCTTTTTCCTTTTCTTCAGGGCCTATATGAGTGTGAAAGAGTTAAAGGAGGAGCTGCACCTGAGCGGCACTGACGCACTCAATGTTTTCTTTGCCAGCAACTCAGTCCGTGAAGAGCTGGCAGGAGCTGCAACCTGGCCATGGGCAAAAGAGGCTCTTACCCACCAAGGTAAGTCAAGTTACTCTTAAATATATATAAATGCCATCTCTCCATGTCTGTTGCTGCATCTTTATTCCCAATTTTCTTAGGTTTCTTCCTTTTTCTTCTCTCCCCTTTACCAGTTTTGTTTTTCTTCTTTCTTTTATCCTGTTTCTCTATTTTTCCTTTTATTCATCCCTCCATCTCTTCCATTGCCCCTCCATCCTTTGCAATTGGAGCTGGCAGAGATTCCCGGCACATTGCCTCTTTCCGCTTCCAATCATTAGGCCCCTTTCCACTGGAACAGGCTAATCAACCCAACAGCAACCAAACAAACAAAGGGCAGTGTGGGCTCTGTACCATTGTTGCCACCCATGCCCACTTGCCAGCTGTTCTTTATTTATTTATGCACTTTTTTTCTTCTTGTGCTGGTACAAAGTAGTGCATGGACTGAAAAGTAGGAGACACAGAATCCACATGTCCGTGTGAAATGCTGCTGCTACTTCATAGACTTAATGCTTTTTTAGAGGAGCGCTGGAGGTGGTGGCACATCCTAATTAAGAGCAGAGGAAATAGAAGTTCAAAGACATACTTCTGCTTCTCCTCTTCTCTGCCTTTATCATCAACAATAATACTCTGTAGCTTTAACAACACAACTCAATTGATAATGCCGTAATTCAAATCATAACAGATTGATTCAATGAAAATAATTGTTAGCTGTCGCCTTCAAAGCAAGAGTTAAGTTTTATGTCTACAATATAGACATCAAATTAGCTGTCACAAATTATTTCAGCTGTCATTTATATCTAAAACATTAGCATGAGATTGTGCCAAAGTGCTCAGACAGCAAAATCAAAAAACAACAACTGCATAAAAGTTTATATTTGCACCAGCATTTTGCCCCACGACCCTGTACGCAGGATAAGCGGTTGACGATGGATGGATGGATGGATGGATGGACCAGCATTTAGCAGATAATTGGAATAAGACACCATTGATTATTAAAAATGGATGCATTCACATTAAACAGACCTTTCTGCCATTTGTTTTTTGAATTGAATTTCCATGCAGTCAACATTTAAAATATAAGTGATTCAAATGATGATGATTCAAATAGGGAACTTTACTTTGACACGACCAGTCATAGTCACTTTTGAATTAATCTGTTTAAGTTAGTTGACGACTAAATGTCTCCCACATGACATTTGTTTCAGTTGCTCAGCATCTGTCCCTCTTTAAAAACAAGTTAGTGGATGACAACTCGTCTCCGGAGGCCCTGTTGTTTAGTGTCTTTGTATTTAATGTCTTCATTGTTCAATGTCTTCACCAATGAACACACTGTTTCTAATTAGAAAACCAATAACTGTAATGTCTGTCCATGATTCTACGATTATCAGCATGCTGCAGAATCTGCATCTCCACTTTAAGGCCTTTTTAGGAAGAATTCACCATAGCCCCAAAACCGTAGCTGATTTTAAAATTGCTGTCTTTGAATCACTGATGATGATTTGTATTTTAATACATTTTAGTCTTTCATTTTGTAATTAAATTTGTTTAATTAAATCCACAAATGAATCTACATTTAAAATAAAAAAGGATGTACATGGGCAAAAATACATTAAGAAACCATTGAAAACAATCCTGCATCCAGATCGACATCAAACACTGAAGAAGAGCTTTCAGCATATTAGTACACAGTCAGACTTATAGAATTATCTGCATTATTAGAAAAGTAATTGAGTGTGTTTATGGACACGTAGAGATGGTACTTTTCCAATACATTCAGTCCTTTTGTCGGCCCGCTAAAAAAATTTATATAGAAAGCAACTTTTCCACGTTCTATGAAGGATTCGTGATCAGATGGCAGACTTGATTTTCCTTCTGTTCTCTAATTATGATCTTTCTGTCTGCATCCAGCCTGCCATTTACACTTTGCTTACATTCTGCACGCTCATGTAGTCTAGTAGTTAGCTAGTAATAATTCAATGAGTTGAATGACATTTTTATATTATTTATATTATGTGTTATTTAATTGGGAAAGTGGGCCAAAATGGTAAAAATAAACAGTTTTTGCAAAGCATTCTCATATATTCAAAGCAAGCAAAAATGGCCCATATCAATCTGTTTTTTGTCCTAAAGTTTTACTTAATTTCTAACTGGTTTTAAATGTCACAGTTTTTACTAACATGGTCTGTTGCTCTTTTGGAAATGCCAGCTTTCTGTCGTAGCAGAGAGTAAAACTAGACATGAACAAACACAAAACTGGTAGCGCAGTTGTTTTGATGGGTGCTTCTAAAATCTTATCAAAAAACTATTTTACCTGGGTAATAGATCTGAACACGGTTTCATTTTTTTTACATACAGAACAGCAGCTGAATCTAGCGGTTTCCTGTTATTTATTGTCTTGCCAAAGGTCACTAAACAATCACCTGTTGAAGGAAAGTTTAGTCATTTAAATCTTGTCAAAGTGGTGGAATGAGGTGTTACAGTCTTGAAAGAGAGCACAAATATATTTACCTTGACTCACTGTCTTATCAAAAGATAACAATCTAGATAGTAAAATTACATGACACATACTGTTTATATTTTGCCCTCAGGTGGCATGGTGCTGAACCCATCCTACTTTGGTACCATGGGCCACCACAACACCATGATCCATGAGATGGGCCACATCTTGGGACTGTACCATGTCTTCAAGGGGGTGAGCGAGCGGGACTCCTGTGATGACCCATGTCAGGTGGGACTGTTAAATCTTTCCCTTGTAATGATACTTAATGCAACTTTTTGTGTCACAAGGTTTCTGATGAAAAAATGTATTAATGTTTATTGTTGTGCATCATACAATATACTTTATGAGTGTATTTCTTCAACCATTAAGTCTATGCTTGCAATGTATTTTACATGAATATTTTGATATTTTTAAATCTTTAAAATATTTATGTTAAGAAAAGAATAAGAGGAGGTCTGTGTACTTCTTCTTCTGCTGTCTGTGAAGTGTAGACATGCCTACCTGGGAAGAGCCTGTCTTCCTTCTTCTCTTCCAGTAGCTCTGTCATGTGCACTTGCAGGAGACCACCCCATCCATGGAGACAGGAGATCTGTGCGCTGACACGGCACCGACACCCAAATCTAAAGCCTGCCACGATCCCGGAGCGGTCAATGATACCTGTGGAGTCACCACATACCAGGACACACCTTATAGCAATTACATGAGTTACACAGGTGCAGTGAGGAAACATTCTTTACTTTGCTTACTTGTAATTAACAGCAGACATATTGTGAGACATGTTGAAAAGAACGAATGACCTACTGGACAAGTCAATTACTTAGCCTTGTAGAATATCTACTGTGCATTATTCAAATAGAGATGATAGAGGGCATTAAAAAAGACATACTGTGTAACATCCTACTGCATAATTAAAAAAAGAGTTTTTGTGAGTAAGACAGCGGGAATACAAACACATGGTTACAACAGCCGGTCATTAGTCATTAATCCGCAAGTTGTTAATTTTAAAAAGGGGCAGAGGTACTTCTGAAAAAGTAATCTACCTCCTGACATTTCTAATACACAGCCACACAAGCAAGGCTTACGCTACATGTACATACAAATAGTTTACATTACTTTTAAAATTTGTTTTATGTGGCTAATTTGAGCTAATTTCAGCATTTATAATGTGCTTTCCATAAATAATAACATTAATAATAGTATGATTTTTTTTCTCACAATGTGTAAATTTAAATATTTCAGAGGTCAGTGTGTTTACTATTCGGTGTTATCATGCTTTAAATCAGATCAATGAGGGAATGCCTTATTTTCGCATCTGAATGACAACATGCACGATGTTCACCACGTGACCTGTGTGTCACTGTATCTTTATAGCAGAATGGTGTGACTGTTTTAGTCATTTTTATTCAAAATAATTCTGTAAGTCCTGAAAGCTGCCTGATATACCCATATTTAGATTCATGCAATCTGAAAATGTTCATTAAGAACACATTGCTGTTGGGTTCACTGGGTGTTATCTCACCTCCTGTCGTCAGATGTTTGCAGTAAACTGAATTATTTCCAACCATGGGATTCGATTTGAAGGTAGATGGAGTGTTTAAACCTCAGCCATGATAATTAACTGGGCTTTTTCTTTTCATTGCACCACATCAGATGACAACTGCACCAACCATTTCACTCCCAACCAAGTGGCCCGGATGCACTGTTATCTTGACTTGGTCTACCAGAAGTGGCTGACGGATTGGCAGCCTGCCCCTATCCCTCTGGCCCCCATTGTGACAGGCCATAAGCCGGATTCTGTTTCTATCTATTGGCTGCCACCTATAAGAGGACCACTTTATCAGAGGTACAGTTGCATGGGTTCTTACTCTTAATTATTTATGGGATAAAGGAAAACACCAGCTTGAGATTAGTCCTGTTGTCTGCACTTGTCTCCTTGTTTAAAAGGTAATTTTCCCACAATCTTGACCCTAACTATGGAGAAAGAATGCATAACTAAACTGCTCAAATACATTTAAAGATTTTAAAAACCCATATGAACCCAAAAGATCAAAAATATGTTCACCTGGTCCTATGACTGCTTTAGTAATGACAAGATGGGGATAAATGGCATTTATAGCATCAATCAGACACGCAGTGCTTAATTAATGATTAATTAATGCACTTGACATGCGTGACAACATTACCAGCAATGTGTTGCATGTTTGTCTCTTTACCCTGATGCAAGCAGACAAATGAATGACAAGGTACATGTTGCCACATATGCACTGCTTTTCCAAATGAAGCCAGGCTAGACCTGAGTCTGCTGAGACAATGTCGCATTAAGTGGTTCCTTGTCAACATGTAAAGTTAAAGATTTGTGGGCAGACTTTACTATATAAATTATGACGTATAACGCCTGGTGATTAAAAACATATTCAGGCTGCTAACGAGAGCAGTGAGTGGAGTTATTGCCTGGCTATACCCTCCAGTATCTTTTTAATTGGTCCTGTTTGTGTTTTGTATTTATCAGTACATGATGACCACATGAACAATGAAAAATGGTCACGTAATACTTACTGACTTAATGAGTTTAAACATTACCTTAACAAAAAACAACCGACAGGTGTGCAATGATGGATTACGGGATTCTCAACATAAACACCTGGTTGTACCTAAAACTTTTGGACAAAGACGGCTGCATTTCTTGGCCTAATTTGGAGTGTTTGAAATGATATAGACATGGTTCACCATTGTAATGTATTCAGGTACTGTTGGGACTGTAGCCTCAAATAAACTCCTGATCAAATTGAAGGTCATCTTTTGACTACCAACTGCAACTGGTTTCTATAGACTTTTCCTGTGTGTCTGCCCGTGTTCTTGGACTTTGTCAGCTTCCTTGCTTTGTGCATCTAGACTGAAAAGCAAAGCAAGTTTGTCCAACATTACTGTAGATCTGGTCTTAATAGAGACATATTTACCTTGTTGTGACAAACGAAACACAGAGTGTGTATTTCATAATCAGGAACTGTGTTTCCTTTTCCCGCCAGCTCCTCCGTCCATGTGCCCGGTGTCGACTGTGGAGACTGTGAGAAAGACAGTGTTTTCCACCAGTACGCCCACGAGGCTACCTCACCTCGCATCTGTGACACGTCAGGCTACTGGACACCTGAAGAGGCAGTTGGTCAGTCAGAAATCACTGTGTGTGTGTGTGTGCGTGTGTTGCATATGTGCGTCTAAAAGAATGATGAATATTTATATATTTTTACTAACAAAAATAAGACTAGTTTTTCAGAATACTAACCTTTTACTTGTTACAACATATATAGTCCCCTTCTAAATGCACCCCTTTCTCAAATCAGTGTCAATATTAACAGAACTGAATAAGAGAGATTGTTGGAGCTACATGTAAAGCTGCGACACAATTTTTCACACTTTTTCACCATGACAGTGTTTTTTTAGTGATTAATTCCTTGGTCAAAATAGGTTAAATAGGTTTCTACTATGGGAATTTATTTAAATAAATTTATTTTATTTAAATAAATAATGGCCAAGTTGAACTGAAAATCAGTAGTAGTAAGGAGGCAAATTTTTCTTCCTCCTAAAACTGAGCGTTGACTAAGTTTAGTTCTCCCGCTACACTCTTCTCTGTCAACAGTTATTGACAGTGAGTAGCGGTTTCAGGTCTGAGTTTGTGTCCTTGAGTTCTCCTCTTGTTTCCACAACCCCCTCCCCTCGAAACACACACACACACCCACACACACACACACACACACACACACCCCCACACACATACACATCTCTTCCCTGTAAATTTCAGGTGCGTGCAAGGCTAATGGCTCCTGGAAGAGGAAAAAGCAGAAAATCATTAAATGATAATTGCCCTCACTACAGACCTCTCTCTGTCTCTGTCTTGTTTTAGCCAAAGCGAGAACAAGGATTATTAGGCAAAGCGTCTACTCTGGGTAATGTTTGGATGCTGTTCAAACATTGAAACGCCGTCATAAACAAAAAAGCCAAAAAAGTGTAGATTGTAGCACTGTACTTTGTAAGCACATGGTCCTTGTTATTAACCCCGCCAAGGAAGTTATGTTTTCAGTGCCGTTTGTTTGTTTGTCTGTCAGCAGGATAACGGAAAAACAACTGACCCGATTTTAATTTAGCATGAGCCAAGAGAGACTCCATTACATTTTGGAGCAGATCCGAATCACTGGGCGGATACACAAATTATTTTTAATTTTGTTAACATTGTGAGATAGGTCACTTGTAACACTTGTATCTAGGGCGAAATTAATTGAATTTGTCGTGCATGCGTAATTAAAATGAATGCTGTACCGCATCTACACAACAACAACAAAACACAACAGCATCACTCTAAAAACAAATGCAGTTGATAAATAAGCAATCTTTTATCTTCATGAAATACATAATAAATGCACAGCTGAGATGATGAGGTTTCAGGTAGGCACAACCATATTTTAACGCCTGTAATTTTATTAGTTTTGGAAATATGTCCACACATATATAGCGGTCGCTCTTGCAGATTTGCACATCATAGAAGACTGGACTAAATGGCCTTGGCAGATGTCTTCTATCTTCTAGATGCTATCATGACATGTACCCTACAAGGGAAAGAATCAAGAAAGAAAAAATGAACACAAGGAAGCAAAGAGAAAGAAAGAGTTATACAGAAAAAAAGAATGACATACTGTCTGAACACAGTAACGCTTTCCTTCTCTTCAGTGGAAACTCTATCCAAATATGTGGAAATCCTATGCTGGAATTTATGCTTTGAAAACAAGCGGCAATGAGGAACAGGGGGGATTACGGCTCCCTCTCTTTCGCTGTGGGATCATAATGATGATAAAGAGTCAATTACAGTCTTACTCTAAACAGTGGTATGCACACAGCTGAGGAGACAGCCAGTCTGCTGGCTTCCTTGGCTCCCTTTTCACTCTTTCCCACTTCTAAAGATGATGATGCACAGGGTCACTTTGTCAGCCAACGGAGATGGGCAATATCGCCTTCAGCAGGGAAAGGGAGAGGGGAAATTGGACTAATTCAATGTGGATATCACAGCTGGCAACACAAAACATATATTTAATGGCAAAACACTGGCTAGCAAAATTGTCATTTTACATCTCCTCAAACTAATGCCTATGCCACAATCTTGAATGGTTTAAATTTTCAGGCGGAGGGAAAACACCAAACAGCTTCATGAGCCTGAACTCCTGTTGAGAAGGATTAAAGTATTTTAAGCTGCATTAAGCATTAAAGTGGTTTAATATATTAAATGAGAACATTTAAAGTAGGTGCATCGTGTTGTTTATTTTACCGCAATTAATGATGGGGGGTAGAAAAGTCCATACCCGTGCAGGTGAATGAAAATCCAATATCCCTTTCTAAGCCGACTGATGGATGAAGATGGAAATGTACAATACTTGTGGAGTATAAGAGTTGTGGCTGCAGAGCAGAAATAATAATATATGTAGTAGTATAGAGAAAGAATGAACAACAAAGATATTGACCATATTGTTTAACGAAGCATTAAACATAACAAAAATTGACAATGCTTACACTTAACTTCAAATATGTACAGAAATTATATAAACCACTAGTTATACGAATATAAAAATAATATAATAGCATAAAGAAAACATCTGGACAAGAATAAAAAATGTGATAACAATGCAGAATTTATATTTATATAGTGCATATTTGCTTCAGGGCCAAAAGAGGATATACAGGAAGTGTTCACGTATGCACACTTTTTGTTTTATACAGTACTGTTATACTGTATACAGTTTACAGGAAACATATTATTTGTAAAGGTTGTGAAGATTTACATTTCTTGTACTTCACCATGTGAAAAGTGTTGTCCTTGCTCATTATATTTTATTATTATATGGCACATAGAACTGTGTGTCATAAACATTAACTGATAAAGAGAAAACTGCTATTTTTGTAGATAAGATGTACAAGAAGCCCATAAAAAGATGTCTGGGACAGTTGATATATACAGTCTAATGTTGGTGATATATTAATATAATAATTAGACAATAATAATTATTAAAACAATAATTAGATCCATGACTATTCTGTTGTGTGAGTCAACAACCTTTTTTCATAAAAGTATCAAAATACTTTGTTTCTAATGATTCAGGGATGTAAGCAATTATCCACATACTTGATCATCCATTTGTCTAATCTTAAAGCTGCAATAATATAATTTTTGGCCACTTGGGGGTAGTAGGACAAGAAACAAAACAACATTAACAAATAATCATCTGCTAAAGTGTTGTGGCAAACATGTTAGCAAACAGTTGCATATTTAAACATCTTGCAGACAACATCATCATCCCGTTGAAGCAATGTTTGTGTCAACCTGACACAATAGAGTAGGGTTGTGTGCAGGAAACTAAAAGATCAATCCAGCATAGTACAAAGCCCTCTGTAGAGCTGCACGGAGCTGCAGAGGTGGGGGGGTGATTCTCTGTGGCTTTGTCAGTATGAGCGACATCTTTCACATTGCACAAAGTCATTTAAGTCAAGTGTGGCAGAATTGGCTATAAGTAATGTATTTTCAGACTCATGACTGCGACTCAATAGTTGTGGTGCCAAGTTTCACCTCTGATCTTACTGTATATCCCATAAGCTGTTTATATGACCATACCTCCACAATCAATTCCACCTGCAGTGGGCAGTAGTTCTAGTTCCCCTTTGAGGGAACTCTAACTGCGTCGGTGACGACACTATGGGAACGCCTCTGGGCTGGCAGGGCTAAATTATGAATGAAACTACTCCAATCCTATTGGTGTTGCTAGAACGGTAGCGTGTGACGGCGTAACCGGAGGCGTATATAAGCACGCCGGCACACAAGACACATTAGCTTCTTTCTATTCAGCAGGCACTCTGAGTATGTTTGGAAGCTCCACTATCGAGAAAGTTGTTGTCTTACCTCGAAGTCCTGACGAAGCAGTAGAGACCATGTCTGGTAATCATTTCCGACTATGTGTTTTTCCATGCCCACGCTACATCGTGGCTGGGAAGACTCATGAGATGTATGTTTCCTGTCTGGGTATGTCGCACGCCCAGGCAGTTCTCGAGGGGGCTGCCTGCGTGGCGAGGCCCGGTCCCTAAGGGTGCTGAGGTCTCGTGCGGCTCTCTTTTCGGAAGATGGTCGCGGCGGCTACAGTCATGGGGATCGCAGCGTGATATCTCCGAGAGCGTCGGGACGGCTGAGGCCTTTTTCCGGTCCTCGTCTGCTGACTCCGCCTCCTCTCTTCCCCCATTCGGGAGCCCGTTTCTCGGCTTCTGCCGCCCGAGGTATGAGTCTGGAGAGGCTTGCACAGTCTGATTCTGAGGAGCGATGTATGTCCCTGGGACCCAGAATCAGGGAGCAGACCTACTGTCGAGACAGGGGCTGAGGCCCGAGGAATGGAGACTCCACCCCAAGGTGGTGGAGTTATTATACGAAAAGTTTGGCCCATAGAAGTGGACTTGTTTGCGTCTCGAGAGACTACGCACTGGGGACAGTGAGAGGGAGAACCACAAGTTCTCCCTCTCATAGCCCCACTAGGGCTGGATGCCATGGTGCAGACGTGGCCGAGGCCACGTTTGTACACTTTTCCCCCAGTCGCTCTATTCCCGGGGGTTCTGGAGCGGGTATGTCAGGACGGCGTCAGCCTACATCTAGTAGCCCCATTTTGGCTGGCATGAGTGTGGTTCTCGGATTTAATATCGCTCCTGGAGGGCCCGCCCTGGCAGGTCCCTCTGAGGAGAGACCTGCTGTCCCAGGCGGAGGGCCGGATCTTTCATCCGCACCCCGCCCTGTGGCAGCTGTGGGTCTGGCCCCTGAGGGGGCGCAGTTCCTGGAGGCGGGCCTAACGGCAGGAGAGGTCGAGACACTACTCAGCTCTAGAGCCCCATCCACGAGAGGGATGTACGGCCTGAAGTGGAATGTGTTCACCACCTGGTGTAGAGAACGGGCGGTGGACCCAGTTACGTGCTCGGTAATTATGATACTTGAGTTTCTCCAGCACCGTTTCTCTGCGGGCCTCTTCTCGTCCACGCTCAAAGTCTATGTGGCTGCCATTGCAGCATTCTACGCACCTCTGAGTGATGGGCCCTTGGCTTCCACTGGTCGTGCGCTTCCTCTGTGGAGCCCGGAGGATGAAACCCGTGACTCATTCAAGGGTTCCTACCTGGGACCTGGCAGTGGTTCTCGAAGCGCTGGCTGAGGCCCCCTTCGAACCCCTGGAGTCGGCAAGGGGATCTCCAGGCACTTTCGGTTTCTCCCCGATGCCTGGAGTTTGCCCCGGGGAGGGTCAGGGCCATCCTGCACCCTTGTCCAGGCTATGTCCCTAATGTTCCGTCCAGTTTGGCAGGGTCCACAGTGCTGCAGGCGTTTCATCCCCCACCTCATGTGACGGCGGAGGACAGGAGATTTCATCTGCTCTGCCCTGTCAGAGTGCTGAGTATTTACACTCTGAGGTCTTCCCGGTGGAGGAAAGCAGACCAGTTGCTGGTGTGTTCCAGGTCCCCCGAGGCTGGGCTCCCCGCTTCTAAACACACCATCAGCAACTGGATCAGACTATTTCCCTGGCCTATCAGGTGCGCGGTTTGCCTTCACCTATGGCTGTAACGGCGCACTCTACTCGAGGCAGTCTAGGACCTTCCTTCTGCACCCGGCACCCGTGCGCTTTCCCCCTAGTCGTGCCGTCAGATTCTGCACGCTGGGGGCAGGTGGGGTTTTGGCGCGGCCTAAGTGGGTATCCCCTCGAAGGGGAACGTCTCGGGTTACGTATGTAACCCTTGTTCCCCGAGAAGGGGAACGAGACACTGCGTCGGTCCGCCACACCTCACCCCGCCTGGAGTGTCTTGCTTCATATAAAAAGGGCTAATGTGTCCTGTGTGCCGGCGTGCTTATATACGCCTCCGGTTACGCCGTCACACGCTACCATTCTAGCAACACTAATAGGATTGGAGTAGTTTCATTCATAATTCGGCCCTGCCACACCCAGAGGCAGTGTTGTCACCGACGCAGTGTCTCGTTCCCCTTCTTGGGGAACAAGGGTTACATACGTAACCCGAGACGTTCTCTTTCAGCATTGGAGATACTTCATATTTGAGATTCTTCAGCTAATAATTAGTATATTAGACAAAAGTTTGAATCTAGAAGATTGTATTCAAATATCTAGTACTTCAATACTTGAGAAAATGTAAGAAGCTACGAAATGGCAACAGCCTACAGAATTTACTGTTTACAGTTCTGGTTCATTTACAGTAAATTGGCCTATTTAGGCCAATCTTGACGTCACTTACCTGGCCTTCTTTGTCTTTCTGACAGCTTGGCGATCCGCTGTGCTTCCACACATGGCTGAACATAGTGGGTGTGAAATATGTAACACCTCATTAACATCCTGATTTTTTTTTGGCTTTCACCTGGGACACTGATAATAACGCTACCATAATGTGATTCAGTTGTGCTAATCACTAACACTGTAACAATTAACAACTAATTTTGTCTGGTGTAAAGGAGTTACTACTGCATTTTTGAATGTGGGCCATGTTTTCAGTAAGGGGGGTGACTCGTAACTTTCTCAACTGGAAAATTCTGCTCCCTCTTGTTACCAACGAGCGTGAGTTTGCTGATAGTTGTTTAGTTGTTTAAAGAATTACTGAGAAATTTGTGAAATTGGTCACTACTATATAGTGGACAAGACACATTGAGGACAAGGACACCACAAAAATCTATTTCAGAAAAACATCCCGACTGTAGGTTTTATTTATTAGGACTAAAACTCAACTCAGATTTGATTGGTAGTGTCATTTCCCTGGCAACATAAGGAAACCATCCCACAGCTGTAATCATATTCAAATATTGCAAAATATTTTATAGTAAGAAGCTGATTGGGACAACATGTTTCCAGGGCCATGCAATGTGATAACATATTTTGACATAGACAATGTGCTTATAAATTTATCAGAACATTTAATGAAATATCCATTAGATAGGTAGCAAGTGGTAGAGTTATCACTAAAATCTGATACACGGGTTAATGTTAGACTGCCACACACATTTAGACACAGAGCCTGTATATGCATATGACCTGTTCAGTTCAACAGCCGGGCTTGGCTTGCCTCTTTTTCACCGTACACACACATGGAAAAACATGCACACACTCACAGAAGGTGCAAATGACAGCTGGTGCTTAAGACCAAGCCATTAGCCGATATAGTGTTGTATGTGTGTGCATGTGTCCTGCCAGTGACAAAGGTATACACTCGTGCCTTAGCCTGTACAGTTCAGCAACAGCCCTTTACTGCTGGACAATGAGCAGCTCCACTCGAGATAACAACAGTAGATGTTAAAAGAGGTGACAGTGTTCCTCACATATTCTTCCCAGACTTACGCAGCAGGTTCAGAAGCAAAGCCAAGTCCAGTGTGTACAACCAATTAGGTGTGAGAGGGGTTCATCTTAATGTCTGGATAAATGAAATATCAGTCAATGACACTATCACTGGCATTATTTTTTTATTTTGCTGCAGCTCCTCACACTTAATAATCATTGTCATGACTGATTCAGGATTATGATTGGACAATACACGGCGTGTTCCCAGCCTTAGGGTTATGGAATGGATGTAGTCATTGATGGTCCCTGAAATACAAAAAGACAAACTTGTGTGTGTCTGTGTGATTTAACTGAACCCCAGGCCCACCTGATGTGGAGCAGCCCTGTGAACCCAGTCTCCAGGCCTGGAGTCCGGAGCTCAGTCTTTATGACACAAATGTGACCTCACCATGTCCCGACACGGAGGGCTGCACCCTCACACTGAGGTTCCTCCACCCTGTCGTTCCACACACACTTACCATTTGGGTTACCTACATCTCCTCCAGTAAGTGTCAATCTATAACATTTTATTTTATCATCAGTTTAGTCTGTCAGATATGCGAAACGATGTGAGACTGGAAGTATAGACAATGTGTGGTGAGGCTTATTAAGCAATGCATAGACAAACAGGGACAAAACTTGTCTCCATCCAAACCTCGCTTTGAGAACCGTAATAGGAATTGATCAAACCTTTGCCCCAAACTCTTGAAATAGAAAGAGGTTCTGCTGTAAATTAATCTAAGTAGGCTGCTTTTAAATCCAGCAACAGGTACTTGGGGATCCTTCTGTGCTATGAAGATCCAGCCATAATCACAAAATCTGAATTCTGGCTTAGTTAGCAAAAGTGAGAAGATTTAAACTGATGAATGTATCCAGCAAGTGTAGGAATTTTAAGTTTTGTGATTAGATGTTCCTTAAGCTAAATATGATCCTTTGGCCTCACATCTGACAGATGTCCTAAAGTTCTTATGTATGCAGTCCTGAACCATTTCAAGGCAGTTGCTTATTGTACTGAAATTCAACCAGCCACGCACCATTGTTTATGAATACAGAAACAAGTTTTCTTCCAAAAGCATTGCCACCAGAAACAACCCTTGCTACTCTGTTAATTGTAAATTACATTTGGACAGTGAAGTAGAAAAATATTGGCAGAAATAAGAGTTGAAATATTTAGCCTATCTGTATTTCCCTGTCACAGACAACCCAGCTATAGCCAACATAGAGCTGACAACAGATAAGGGGAAAATCATTAACCTTGGACCCCAGCATGTCTTCTGCGACATGCCCCTCACCTTGCACATTGACACCAACAACGCTGCCATCACCGCCATAAAACTCTGCACCTTCGACGAGAAGATGGAGATCGATGCTGCCATGTTGTCGTCAGGCCCCGGCAGCCCTCTGTGCGCCGGCTGCCAACCTCTGCTTTACAGGATTCATCGGCAGCCTCCCTTCGCCAGCAAATCTCCGTCACCTCAGACCCTGCAGACATTCACTGACAGGTAGACGTTGTGTTTGTAGAGGCATTTGCTTCATTTAAGTTTTAGCTAAGATTACCCTATAGACATGTTTTAAGTGTTATTTTGCAATAAGAATTCCATCAATTTACTCTCAGACCACTAAGGTCCATCTGAAGAATGAACTCAAAACGGGAACTGGGTCAACAGGCAACAATTTTGTGCTATATTATGTGTGGTACAAAGTGCCGCATCAACCCGTAATGTGTTTATAGAGACGTTCTTCATCAGGCAAAGATTTGCTTTACAGGAGGTATCCGTGCTGTGAAATGGGAATTGACAGGTGTGTTGTTTTTCCTTCTAAACCACCTTAAAATACCCAGAACTCCACCTGTGGCAAGTTCCTGAGTTTGGTTTTCTCCCAGGTGCAGATGAATATTTACAACATGGAGGCTGTGCCAACTAGTAATGCTGGGCCCGCACACACAAACACACATATCCACACTGCCTTGTTAGACAAAAGTAGATAGGGCCAACATAAGTTCCACAGCATACCTCTGTCTCTGTGTGTGTCCTCAGATCTGCTAATCCACAGATATCTGTCTCTCAAAAGTGTTTGTGTCTGGATCTGCTTGAAAAGCTCAGAACACAAATGTTTCCAGCATGGGGATGCCGAGCTGTGGCTACTGATCCAAATCTGTTTCAACAAGCATATACTCAATCAAAAGCATGCTGAAGTTTTGGGGCTAAGTTGAATCAGTTTGTCTTGTACTGTGGGGTGTCCAAATGATTACTGGAATCCAACTGTAAACCCACAAGCCAGTATTTCTATCTCACCAAATAGCAGCCCTCCAAAAAAATACCCTAAATCTCTCTACTCTTGTTCTTTTCTGATATAACTTTTCTGAGAACCAGCCAGAATACGACAGTTGTGTCACATGATTGCAGATCATTTGGGGCCGATTTCAAATGCTGTGGCAGTGACACACTGAATTTCTGAGAAGCTGTTGCTGTTTTACAGAACACAGCGGATGTTAGGTGGACACAGCTTCAAAAACAGTTTATTTTTCAGGGAACACGTCTTCTATGTTACACAAGCTGTGTCTAAGTGCAAAAAGATGTAAGAACCAGTGGGGATTGAGGTATGTGGGACTGCGTAGGGCAGAGAGGGGTTGATGTGAGGAGAAGAGAGTGTTTCAGTGCAATGAGTTTGGAAAAGAAGGGAGAGGGAGCAAGGGAGGACGGGATAATGGAGAGAAGAGACTAAAAAGAAGAGAGCGTCAAAGGGAATTGGAAAAGATGTTGATAAGCATACACGCGAGAGAAAAATAAACAAGGTGTGGGAGGAAGAGAAATTAAACATAAAGCTGAAGATACTGAAGGTGAGGGAAGAAGAAGCGGGGGGTGCAGAAGGGTGAGAGGACAGAGGGAGACAACAGCACAGCATAACTGCAAAGCAAGCAGAGGCATATTTTTTCCTTTTTTTGACTATGAACCAAATGTGAGCAGCAGAGGCCATAAACACCAGTGACCGCTTGGATCTGGTCCTTAGCCGTTTCCTGCTGCTGAACTTGCACCATGGTTAGCACAGGCTGACGCAGAAGAACACAGACAGCAAAAGGAGTGGGGACAAGTAGGACTGCTCAATTAATCAAAAGATTTCATGTTAAAATGTTACTATGCAGTGAGATTACATCTTGTTGTCTGAAAAGTGTTTCAGACATCATTGTTAATCAGGTATCCAGGGATTGTACATTGAAGTCATTTTTGACCCACTGAATGAACTTTGCTGTAGAAATAAAACAAAGCTGAGAAGGGAAATCAATCTTTTGGCTTCAGTGAGGAAGGTTAGAATCGGGTTCTGCTCGTTAAGAACTAGTCCAGAAGGAAATCTCACGTGTTTACATTTGGTCCAGATGGCCACACTGGAAGTCAAAGTCTTTTCTCCCTTACCTGACCCCAACCGATGCCCTAACCCCAACCTTGGGGTGTGACTGGAAACACCATTTTTACGGGAGGGACACGCTATTTGAAGGGGGAACAGACTTTACAGATGCAGTAATGTTAAAATATGGGGATAACGGTACCGATTTTCAGACAGGAAGACATTCACATTGTCGCACTTATTTGTTTGCATGACAGTGTCACAAATCAGAGAGAATCTCAAACCCTAGCTTACTCTTACCTTCACACAGCTGGACAATCACGTAGTGAGGTGGGTGTGAATGTCATGCTGATGCTTTCGGAAAGTTAGAGAAATGGTCAAACAAATCTGATGTTGGAAAGGTGTGGGGGTAGGGGGTTTCCGAAGCTACTGACTATCCAATGTGACCATTCAAGTGCTTGTCAAATGGTTAAACAGCCTCTGAAACCCCCTGACCCACATCTTTCTGACATTGGAACGGGCTGCGTCTGACAATTTTTGTCACTTTCCTAAGCGAACAATCACGCCCACTTCATGCAGCATTAACCAGGTGTGGGGAGGAGAGAAAGTATGCAGCATTTGAACTTTTTCATTCGTTCCACAACTGTTTCCGTAGCTTTTTTTGTGCACAACTAAGTGCAACACCATGAATGCCTTTGAAGAAAGATTATTATCTACATTTGTAGATTGTAGATTCTTTCCCCTCTCTTTGACAGCACCCACCTTAAAAAGTACCACAAGGGAAAGGGGAAACGAAGACCCAAACATCACCATATTTATCAAGAATTAATGAAAAAGCCTCTGAGAGCAGAGAGGGAAAGAGCTGTGACAAAAGGTTATGGATATCAAAATGTAGAGATAGTACAGATAAATAGAGAAGAGGGGAGTTCTTCTCTAATCCATAATTAATAAAGGAAATTTGTGTCTGGAGAATCCGGACAGACCTCAGATACTGACTGATTTGTACTTCTCCTGGTTAACTTGTGTCAGGTGGATACAGAAGCAGTAGATCTGTGCTGCGATAACAGGGAGGGGGCTCTTTTTATAGACACAGCCCACCAAAACAGATCAATAGCCCCGACACTGGAGCCAAGGTATCATAACACACACACTTCCTGCTGGGCTTTAAGGTCATACTGCAAGGTTACAGATAGACGCCACTGTAAATCCATTTTTGTTGCTGCAATCACATGTTATTATACTGAACAAAATTATAAACACAAAACTTTTGTTTTTGCCCCCATTCATCATGAGCTGAGCTCAAAGATCTAAGACTTTCTCTATGTACACAAAAGGCCAATTTCTCTCAAATATTGTTCACAGATCTGTCAAAATCTGTTTTGGTGAGCACTTCTCCTTTTCCCGAGATAATCCATCCACCTCACAGGTGTGACATATCAAGATGCTGATCAGACAGAATGGGGATTGCACAGGTGTCCCTTAGGCTGGCCAGTTAAGTGCTCACTAACACAGATTTTGACGGATTTGTGAACAATATTAAGAAATAGACATTTTGTGTACATAGAGAAAGTCTTAGATCTTTGAGTTCAGCTCATGGTGAATGGGGGCAAAAACAAAAGTGTCATCCTGCAACTTTAACCACTATAATTCTTTCTTATTTTGTCAAATATTGAATGAGTCATTGGTATCAAACAATAAGCCTCTAAAGATTGTATGCTCATGTTTGTACAACCGAACAGTAAAAATCATATCTTACAGCTTCTCAGAAGAACATTACAAACTTTAGACTTTTATTTAATAACTTTATAATGCCAAAAAAACCCTAAACAATAAAATTATTTTAAGCAAGCACAAAACCATTTCTCCTCTTCTCTTCTCTAGCTCTGTGGTGCAAGGAGACCAGTACCAGTACACGATCCAGGTGGAAGCAGGTGGCCTGTTAAGCGTTCCCTCCCCACCTCTCCTTTACACCCATGGGCAGCCCTACTGTGGAGATGGCCTTGTACAGGGGTCTGTGCACTTAAGTGGATATAGTATACACAGTAATATGACTGTTGTTAAAGATGGTGAATAATTACACACTGAAATGTAGGTGATGATGATGGCTCTCTCTCTGTAGGACAGAAGAGTGTGACGACCGTAATCTGTTGGACGGTGATGGCTGCTCTAAGAAATGCCACAAGGAGATGGGCTTCAACTGTAATGGTGAGTGAGTCCGATTCACTTCAGCGCAGAAAAAAAACGTTCTGGTCCATCTCAGTTACACACACACACACACACTTTAAAACAGAAAGCTTTTTGAGCAGTGGGTTTTCTCTCAAAAGAACGGCAACACCATATCCACCATATCAACTTTTAGTGTAAAAGAGCACTTGCTAAATTGCCAGAAATCTCTCATTTGTGCAGGCAGCAGTATTACAATAAAAGAAAAAAATCAAGCCAATCAAATTTAATTTAAAAGACATAAAAGCTTCTGGCTTGAACCGAATCCACAAACCATTAATGTAGCATCACCGCAACATAAGGGAAAACAGATGAGCTGAAGGGTAAAGAGTAAGTTTTTGGTTTGCTAAGTCACAAGTCTTCTGAAGCATTTTGACATTAGGCTGGCAGAGAAACACTAGAAAAACACTTTTCAGCAGTAAAGCACACTGTTCGGTCTCAAAACATGTCAGGCATGTTTCCTTTATTGAATAAGTGTTGGCCTTTATAAGAGCAATCGAGACAGGCTTAGGAATATTGATAAAATAACTTTATGGATTTTTCATCAAAGATCATATTGTGGATTTTGGATCAGACAATTGTAAAAATAAACTTACAACAACAGTTGTGTTTTAGACATTGTTGCCATATTTCATTTTGTTTGATATGCTTTAACTAAAGTAAGTAATAAGTTTTTTATTATCAAATCACATGTGCAACAGTCGGCCAGCTCTCCCCAGTGAGATAGATCATAACCAGCTGTAAAAGCCTTTGCTTCTGACAATTGTTATACAATGACCCCATAGTTAAGTGATTGGAGGCCACCTTGTAGTTCCGACTGCCAGAATCAAATCTTTAAGGGGTGGGGGTGGGGGGGGGGTTACATTATTTTGCGACCTTTCATGGCAGTGTTTTTTTTTTTTAAACCAACTGGAAGCTTAGAATTAGGAAAGAGCAACTGTGGTTAGGTTTTAGGCCAGGTTAACTTTTGGTGAGGTTGGGGTTTCTTAGAATCAACAACCAAAGATTTATGGTAAGACGAAAAACATTAAGAAACCGTTCATTTGTGGCTCTGTGAGTCATGTGGCTGCCAGAAAAGAACTTGGTGGGTGTTCAAGATTTTGTGACGGAAAAACAATTTACCTGTTAATGCTCTCTAACAATTAAACTCTGACCCTCAGGTTCGGTTATATGTTATGATTTTGTTGTAGTTTATTTTTTTTCACTCCAGTCTGTATCCAAATCATTGGTCATAGATGCAGTGTTATATATAAGATTGTAACCTGTTTGATATGAATCCATGTACAATAGTGACCTATGAGACCAGGGCCAAATGTTGCTCATTTAACCCTGGGACAGGTGGATAAAAGTGGTAAAGGCAGTCAAAAGCACCAAAAACATGCAGCATAACATGGCAAAAGACAAACAAAGAAGCCACAGTGAGTGAACTCATCGTTTGTGATTCCACCACAGGACAACAATACTTTGTGTCTGCACCCTCGCCCAGTCTGAAGCATGCAGACACGCCACAACAGAAGCCTCACAACACAACATTGAAGGGAGTTTACCCAAAACACTCCATTGTAAGCAGAAGACTTAAGACTCTGCCTCTGTCAACATGTGTTTTTTGACCTTTGTATTAGGTAAACAACGTTCAAAAAACGCAATGTGGTAGAGTAAAGCCAGAGAGAGAGCATTGCCAACACGAACATTATCCATGATTTCACATCGTCATAATTAGCTCTTTACTCATGTATACTTGCTTGCGCATGCTTGCATATTCACCAACACACACTGAATATTATGTTATGCTGTGACGCCTCCCCTAATAGCCTCATACACATCGCTTACCTGTCACGTCTAACACGTCCGTGCGTCTCCTAGTGTCTCTGTTTCTCATTGAAAGACATGCTGGAGGAGAGCAGGCATTAACCACAATGAAATCAGCTATACTGTTGTGGTATGTGGTGTTCCTCCAGCCTTAACACGCATCATCTGGATAACAGAATGTTCACCCAAATGCTCCTCAGTTGCCACAAGCTAAGTCCAATAAGTATGTATATCCAACTTTTTGGTTATTTCATAAATATTCCATTAAATTGCTAAGACGATGAGACAGTACGTTAGTTGCTTCCTTTTTAGGCCATGTATTGTTTCTATTAGCAGCTGGGTGGTAGAATGTCCCATGAATAATGTGTGGTGTTAGGACTTGTGTTATGAGAAGTTGTTACAGGGCTAAAATTTCCATCATCCAGTCAATTTATTTGTCAGGGGGAAACGAGCCCATTCCCCCTCCTCAACAATGAGGGCTTGCCATGTCGTGACTGAAGCTATTACATCTCTTGTTTTACAATAAAAGACATCATGACTAGGAAGGGAAACAATTTGGCAAAAACAGGTTTTTACAAATTGCAACACTTAAAACCAATTATTCAGTTGTACTTCTTAGTCATAGACAGAATATTTGTTTGGGTTTTCTTGCCACATTAGCTTGACCCAGTTAACTCCAAATATGCCAAGTGCTTTTGCTCTTGCTCCGTTTAGTTGTGTTCATATAATTTAACAAAGTTCTGCAGTAACCACACCAGCTACATTTATAGCCATCTTGCTACAAACAAGCCATGGACAAGCTGCAAGTACTGCTTTAAAGTTATTTTTAATAGATTGCACAGATTTTTTAAATTTAATATTTTTAACTGCCACATTAAATAAAAGGTTAAATTGCACAATATGATTACAGCATGCAGACCTAAATAAAAAACACATGGTCTTAATAATTAAGTTAAAGATTGTCAAGTAGTCCTCTTTTGTGAGCCTTGATAAGTACACAGACTTGGAATAGAAAAGACTTAATAATTTTCACAGGTGTTGTCAAAGCAGGGGTGGAGTGTTTGGTGAGTTCACTTAGCGTATTGCCAAATGAACTCAGGATGACAATATGTCATTGAATTGTATCGACTTAATTTGCTTTTTATCAGAAACATGTTTCCGTTGACTAATTGAAGCCAATGCAGGACTGACTCTGACAGCACTGTCTGTGTAACTTCTGCAGCTGTCCAGATGTTAATGAGGTAAAATTTGTGTCTAAGTGTCTGATGTTTTCCTTCCTTTTTATCAATAGCTGCTGCATTACAAGCTGTTCAGTTCATGCTTCCCACCTTTTTTCTGTTACACTGCTGTAGCACGTATGCCAGTACCCTTACTCTATCGCTCGTATATTCATTGCTCATACCTCAGGGGCAGCTGTATTACGTGAATTTTTATTTCCTAATATTATTGAAATAACATCAATTACATCCTTAGTAAAGTCTAAAATTCCTTTATCACTTTACTGTAATCATTAGTGAGTTTTTAGATTATAGTATTTCTTTAACCTTTTATCAAAGACTTAAAGCGTCTGTTTAGCTTTTTACATGACACATCACTAAAAGTCAGACTGATAAGACCAAAATAAATGATATAGGTCTTCCTGAGCAGTCTGACAAAATGAGCAGTCCACATCAATGTCCTCTATCTTCGTAGAAATACTTTGTAGGGGTAATAATCAATGAAATTTTCTTCCACTCCAGGCCTGAAGTAAGGTTATTCCAGTAAGGAACAACGTTTGAAACAGAAACTAACTGTTTTGGAAACAGAGCACATATATTACAGATTTTTTTTCCCTCATGTTAGAGGAAAAGCAGATCTGGCCAACAGCACCAGGATGCAGTTGCAAAAAAAAAAAATCAATCAGGACAATAAATTCTTCAACCTAAACGACAAAAAGGTTGTTTGTCCATGACTCCAAAAACAACACATTAGCGTTTCCCATCAGGCAACTGGACCTTAACCGGACCTATATTAACCAGATAAATTCCATGGACAAACCAGTTTTTCAAGAACAATGATTTGTGTTTATGCACTGCTGAATCGAAGTGGCGATAGGTCTGGGTATGCAAGATTAACAGTGTGTCTCAATTTGGATGTTAAATGTACTTTTACTTTTGTAACCGCTGCAGCTTCCTCTGCCGCCATTTTCACAAGATTGAAAATAGGTTGGTGGTTCCTCCCATTAAGCTACGTAGCCAAGATGGCAGCTGTTGAGAGTGAGAAGAGTCCAGTGTTCCACAACTTTATAGCCATTATGAGTGTACCATCCGGGTACTCATAGTGCACTGCATTTTACCATGCTTCTCAGTGTAAACGCACTTACGCACTAAAAAAGTCAGTGTAAGTATGGAAAGGTGCAAACTGAGACACACTATTTGGCCTCACAAAAACACAACTTGTAACTTTATTCAGTGACTCTGGTGAAACTGTATTATATTTTATAGAGACAATATTTTTTTCTGGTTTTCCCTTACAGAGTTTCCTGATGAACACATAGCTTTACTTGTTGCGGTACTTTAGCTGCTAACTACTACTAATGGAAGCTGCCACTAGCTAGTTAGCTCAGTTAGCTGTGCAGCTAGCCGTCCTATTAGCTGACTCTGCCCAAAACTGGAAGCTTGGTGCTCTGAGGTAACGGTAGTACAGGAGCTTTGGACCGCTGGGAGCACCAAGTTCGGACAGAGGCAGCTGATAGCAGCAACTACAGTTGGCAGTCACTAAAGCTTACTGTAGCATTAGCAACAAGTAAAAATTGGAATTCCTTCATCATAACCATGAAAACACTTTCTGTGAACATACTGAACAACCTCCAGCTCTAGCTCAGCGATGGAATGACCGCTTGGTGTTGTGTTAGAAAAACACGTAGGAGGTTGGGAGCATGGCTGAGAGCAGTGTATTCAGTACGTGTTCAGAGGGTCTACTGCGCTGAAGGGCTGGAGACGGTTCTATGTTATACAGATTTCTCCATGGCGTCAAGAAGGGAGCCAAATTAAAACTGCTTGTTTGCACATTTATTGATTGATTTACAGACTGAGCAGGAGTAAAATAAAAAGCTGTAGTTTCCTGTCACTCTCTAGTCAACTGTCCAGCAGTATCAAAATGCCAGACCTTGCTTAGTGTTATTGCATTTTTGACAGCTGATAAAAGTTGAGTTGATAATAAACAAAATTCTAAATTTATTAGCAGACAATAAAATCGAAAGCAATATCTTCATGTCTGTATTTTTGTTTTCTACTAAACTCGGAACAACTTTGACAGTTCTTTGTAACACATAATGCTCCTGTTGTTACTTTGTGACTTATAGATACCCATGGCCCATTGAGATGCTTTTGGGATTAAACTAACTGGCCAAGTTGCATATTAGGTATATTAACCACTGGTCGGCCTATTAGTATTATAAAATTATTGTGAACTTCAATAATTAATTGAAGTCAAAGTTCATTTCTTACCATAATTTACAGTCTGTTGACAGCACAGAGAGTCAGATAGGGTTGAGTTGATGTGGCTAACATTAAAAGTGGCCAATAAAAATACAAAATAGATTTGCTCAGATTTGGTTCACTGACAAATAGATTTGGATGGAAGTCTAACAGTGGGGGATGAGAATACCCTGCCAAATTAAGAAACCAGGCTGTATATTCTTTCATAAATCCTCCTCCTCTCATTCTTCTCTCCATCTCCCAAGGTGAACCTAGTCAGTGTTATGTTTTTGACGGTGACGGTGTGTGTGAGGAGTTTGAACGGGGCTCCAGTGTTCAGGACTGTGGTTACCACACACCTTTGGGCTACACAGACCAATGGGCATCCACCGCCACTGCTTCTCACCAGGACCCCAATCACTGTCCCGCCTATGCTGCCACTGGGGAGCCATTACTTACCAAGGTATGAAGTACACAGGGCACATAAAAGACTTCCAGATGACAAAAAAAATCTTGTGGAGGACATTGTGGAAATCCTCAACGCTGGGGCAACAATGTTTGCAGCTGTCTTCAACAATGTATTAATCTCGGTATTATTTTCCTTAGTCTGGCCTAATTTATTTTGGCTCCTGTCTGCGCCCGACAGCAAAACATTAACCAACCAGCTAAATCCTCAAAGAAGTGAATTTCCAGAACCTGAAGGAGATGGACCATATAAAAATTCTCTCTTTCTTATGTTGCACTTTATTTTCTACCAACACAGTAAATTAATTCACATCATTACTGGTGCACCTGTGTGTGGGTGTGTCTTCATGTATACATTGCAGAGCAGTGCTGACCCAGATGCAGGGCCATTATACTACTGTGAAGCAATCATTTCAGTCATTTGGTGCTAATAAAGTCTAAAGTGTTGAAAACCAAATACACTATACATAAGGTTAAGTTTCTTGCATCAGTTCCACAGAATTCATATTATTTTCAGGTATAAAGTAACAGAAACAAAACTTCTAATGCAGTGCAGATACAGTAAATTCCAATTAAATGAACACAACCCATGTAAAATTCAAGCATGAGCATAATTTTGTCCTCACTAACTGACCAGAGTTTTGCTTAGCAACATTGTTTAGTGCTGCCACTGGTGGCTGGAAGCTATATTACAATAGCCTCTACTTTCAAATCCATTTTTCTTACAGCCAGTGGTTAAACAAACAGCAGTTTTACATGAGACCTCATTAGTTCCACCTAAGTAGAAATTTCCCAAAAATACACACACAGACCACTATTCCTGTCTTTCTCCCTGTCCACCCATTGCTCTCTTTTGCTAACTCACACTCTCTCTCTCTCAATTGTTCTCTCACTCTCCCTTTACTCACTTTATTATAACATCCTGAACGGTGGATTCTATCAGAAGAGCCTTCTTTTTACACACTCGAGACAAAAAAAAAAGGTTTTTTTAAGGGGTAACAAAACTTTTCAGGTCACAGTGACACAGCAGACCAGCGAATGGTAAGGAAAAGCCTGAAGAGACAGGGCTTTGCTCATAGCTTTGGAGGACATTTTGGCAGAACACTTTGTGATAGCACAGCAACTTTGAATATGGCATAGCTCCCTTTTTTCTCTTAACAACTTAACTACAAAATACATCAATCATTTTCCAGCTCTGACATCTCCCATAAAATGTCTACAATCACATGAGGGCTCTCAGGTCCATCATTGCTTCTAACTTGTGTCACGTTTTTAGAAATGGGAGCACATCAGCCTTGCTCTTCTACACAGTAGGTCACATACAAATGAAGTAAAGCAAAAAAAGGTGCAGAGTTAAGAAAGTTCTGCAGCTAGGCAAAGAACATAATTTAAGCCACTTTTATCATGGGAGGATAGCTGGTGTCAGACACACTGGTTCCAGCATCTTAGAACTGGCAAACCTCCTGGGATTTTTCACGCTACAATGTCTGTATGAGGAAAGGTGCAATAAACAAAACAAATCATTGTCAGTGTCATGAATAAAGCCAGCATGGCCTGTCAGATGCTTCACTGCCAGAGAATTCGGGCTCTTCGCAAGGCACAAAAGAATCTAATAGAATTTATGACATTAGAACGAAAAAATTACCATTGGGATAAACAGACAATGTTACCTTTTGGACAATAAAACAAAATCAATTAAGATTATGGTGATTACTTAAAATGATTTATTCCATAATTAGCATTGTTTATTTCCCTTGTTCTGTGTGAAGCTTTGCAGGTACCAGCACCTGGAGGTGAGTGAGAAAGTGCCCACCGATGCCTGGTTCCCTTGCACAGCCCAGTCTGATACAAATAATGACCTGGAACATTCATTTTGGCTGAAGGTATGTATGTATGTATGTATGTATGTATGTATGTATGTATGTATGTATGTGTGTGTGTGTGTGTGTGTGTGTGTGTGTGTGTGTGTGTGTGTGTGTGTGCGTGTGTATGTATGCACATACTCTATCTGTTTTCTCCTCCACTGAATGATTGTGGGTGGCTACTCTGTCTTCGGCTTCCAGCACTTTAATTTTTTAAATGGGCTTCAAGGGCCTCTCACACAGACTGCTACTCAAACCTCCACACGGACACACATTCCTACATAACTTTCTAACAATTATATGATTCATACAATGCATTGGTTACTATAATTATACATTTTCCAGGTCAACTGTGAATTATGGGTACTAATGATCTGTAGATGATTACCAAATCGTGACTAACCTACTTATTCTTTGTTTACATTTTGTGTTATTTTTACCCAGTGGGTACTTATCATCAAAATCATTCAGTAATTATCATTACCAGTTTACTAATCGTGGAAGACCAAGTGTTATATAATTAACTCATCATTCATAATTAAATACTTAAAAGGTTCATAAGTTATTAAAATACTGGCATCTGAAGGAATAATAATTTTGTAATCATAAATAGATCTCTTAGTCATCATGAACATATCATTTATAATTATAATTTATTATGGCTCCAGAAAATACAGAGCAACAAAAACATTAATTACGTCCTGTGTTCTCAAACATTACATATCATTAACTAATTGTTTCTTTGCGCTTAAAAAGTAATGTTTAGAATTGATTTGTATTTGCTTGTATATGCTACCAGATGTCCTGGTTTGTGTACTACACTGTATTTGGTCCTGGCCGTCCATTCCACACCTGTGTCTGCTTCTCATAATTAATAGTTTGGTAATATTTAATCTTTCCACAGCTAAAATTCCCTCAATCAACACTGCAGGTCCAGAGAAAGCATAGGCTAGCTGTTGATTTGTTAGCCTCACAACCTTGTTCGCCATGCTCTAGATTACAGGGCCCTTTAAAGTCATGAGCTTGCCTCTTTCTTTTCCTGCATATACTTAAACTTTTTTGCTTTCTCCCTCATCATTTCCACTTCTTTGTGGAATGACTCATATTTCCATCCACTGCTTCTTTTATGGATGCTCTCTTTATCAGGCACATCTCTGCAACCTCTCTGGAAGGCCGCCTTCTCCCTAAAGACTCTTTCACTGTCTGAAAAGCCTTCATGATAACAGCCATATCTGCCAGCTCTCCCTGAAACACCTCTTTTTCCTTGAAGTGTTCTTTCGGGCTCTGAAAGGCCTCCCTTGACTTAAATATCTGGTCTCGCTTTATCTGAAAAGCGTTCCTCAGCCATCCTATCATATCAATCTCTGCCAGCTCTCTAAAAGGCGTCCGTCTCATTTAACAGTTCTGCGTCTTTATTTGGAAGCCCTTTTTAGGCCTTAAAGTGATACACTATCCAAATGTTCTTGTGAGTTTGAAACACTCAAGTCTGTAGGCTTGACAGGTGACTGTAAAAAGTTGAAGTTTGGTCACAGAGAACAGAGGCCGGGGTCTACTTGGAATCACAGCAGTTATATATTGGATTCCACTTCCACACAATTATCATACCTGTCCTGCAGCATAATGAACAAATACAGGTATTAGTTTGGACATTTTACAGTACCTACCTCCTGCTATTTCTATGTTAAGAGCCACTCAGCGCACACTCTGACAAACCTACACCTGGTTTGATTTATTATTATTATTGTTATTATTTCTATTTATTTATTTGTGTGTAATTTCCTGTTTTCTTAATTTGTAATGCCCAATTATCACAGCGGTGCAGTCGTTAGCAATGTCGCCTCACAGCAAGAAGGTCTTGGGTTTGAACCTTGGTCGTCCCAGACCTTTCTGTGTGGAGTTTGCATGTTCTCCCCGTGTCTGTGTTGGTTCTCTCTGGGTGCTCCAGCTTCCTCCCACCGTCCAAAGACATGCAGGCTAAGTTAATTGGTCACTCTAATTCACCCTGAGGTGTGACTGTGGGTGTTAAGTGGTTGTTCGTTTCTGTGTGCCGTGTGATGGACTGGCAACCTCTCCAGGGTTTACATCGCCTTTTGCCCAGCGTCAGCTGGGATCGGCTCCTTTGTAAGTGGGATAAGCAGGTATGGATGATGGATGGACGGTAATTACCCCATTAGCCCATGCCGTAGCCTGATGCGCACCTCCCCAAAAATGTAATTACACGTCACGGTGATGCAGACCACAAGAACTGTGATTCTTTCTTTCTTTCCAGGTGGGATTTGCCCACCCTGGAGTGGCAGCCTCTGTGATGGTGTACCTGGCTTCAGATGGGTCATGGTCCGGGGAGCAGTGTCAGAGGACAGCCACCATCCTCCTGTCTGATACTACTGGCAAGAACCACTCATTGGGTACTTTTTACTTGTATTGATTTATTTGTATTTGATTGTTTTAAAGTAAGATAATGCTATATGATAATGACAATTAGAGTAGACTACAAAGTATTAACAAACACTTGGCAAGGTGAGAAGTTAAAAGACTGCTTCAAACCCTTTCATCTAACTAGGCACACATGACCTCTCATGCCATCGGAACCCATTGGTGGTGAATGTGACCCATGACCTCTCTCAACCATTCTTCGTCACCGCCGCTGTTGTTTTCCTCTTCTCCTCCCCCTCTGTGGCAGTGGCAGGCGTGGCATTGAGAACCTCCTGCCACTTCAGCACCTTCGCCCTGACCGGGTGCGCATCAGCGGGTGGGCTCTCCCACAACTACCTACTTGCCACACACACGCATGCTTTCACACACACACACACACACACACACACACACACCGCATGTCAGTAAGTGTTTCATAAAGTGGCGAGGGTTGCAAATTGCGACTAGCGGCTCACGGTGCATTCACGTTCTCCTTGGATGATTGTGAAGTAGTTGTTCTGACTGCAGTGTATGTTCATTTGCTCTGAAGTCGGATGGATGCTACTACAAATTTGTTGGATTAGCATTATCAGAGGATCTAGTTCACTCTCTATTGCAAATTACATGTTTGCGAAATATGTATATGCAATACATGATTTTACACAAGTCAAAGTTCTGTATACTTCTTTATGTTCCATTAGCATTTTATTTCTGTTATTGCAATAAAGATTTAAGGAGCCCTCCCTTTCCAACCTCGCATGAGAAGCTACGGTGGCCGACACGCTTTGTCGGCCCTTGTGCTAAATAATACAAGTGGGCCTCCATTTGTCCAAATTTCTCACTTGTTCTTCATGTTCATCTTTGTATGTATTCAACGTAGTGACGAAATGCACTCTGTAGAGCAGTTTGGCCATTTGAGCTACTGTAGAAACATGGCAGCACAACATGGTGACGTCCATGTAAGGGGACCCGTGCTGTATGTAGATAGAAATGGCTCATTCCAAGGTAATAAAAATATAACGGTTCATTATGTAAAGTCTTGATACACCACTGAAAACACAGTTATGTAAATTATATTGCATTTCTGTCAATAGAACCCTTTTAAATATTACACACTAGACCTTTAAACATAAGCATGCATAAAAGATAGATGTTCAGTCTTGGCATTTCTGTTACAAACAGGTAAATTCCCAAAATGACACCCTCTCCAAACCTTGACTTATTCCTTTAATCTGACTGAATTTGCTTAACCAGAAATAGTGCAGTTTAGAAATCCACGTTGCTTGCTCTGTCCCTCCCTGCCTCTCATCTGTCTCCTTCTCCCTCTCCTTTCCTCCCTCTATTCCTGCAATAGCTGTTTGCGGCAGCCGTGTCAGATGGAAAGCTGCAGTCCTCCCCAGTTAGAGCACGCCTCTGTCAGGTAGGCCCTTTGGAAGGACACAATGACCAATCAGAGAGCTGAAGCAGCAAACGAAAAGAACTATATCTATATATCAGTGTGTCTCTGTAGGTGTACAGGAGGAGGGGAGGCCTCTCAGTGCTCTGTTCAGTGTCACCGTGGTTTCACTATCACCGTCCTCAACGGCAGGGAAACCCCACCCCATCAGGTACACTGAATACTGTAAGATGTGTTGTCCTGTTGAAATAACATCACGAATGGCCTTCAGTGTTTTATCCTCCAGTTACATATTGATATCCAATGAAGTATATTATGCCAGAGAGTTGTCATTTTACATTCATTGGGTGTGTGTTGAGATTGAACAGAGATGTAAGAGGGGTAGCACCAAGGTCTCACGGGTAAGGCCTTGACACACAAAGGGCTTGCAGTATTTCATTCCTACAAATTCTAGAGGAGTAAGTAGTACAGTGAGTTGTTCTTTTACTAACTCAGCATTTGTGGTTGCATCCTCTTTTGCCTCCAAAAGCTGGGGTAACGCAATTACATCTCCTATGAATGATGGGGGAAACCAAACATTTTTTGTCTAATGTTTTCACTTTCACAGATGACACAGCATGTCAAATGAGGAGTCCAAGCAACTGTCTACATAATTCAGGGAGAAAATTTAGGAATTAGATGGCGTTGACTCAAAAGCTTAAAAAAATAGGGATGGAGTCAACAAGGACCTGTATTGAACTGATTCTTAAGGTCCTGGCTTGACATCACACCATTCTTTAGATTACAATGAATTTATTTGGTAATTTGTGGTAACATTTTTAGTGGTTAACTACAAGAATACATCAATACCCTCAGTGATATACTGTATAATTAATAAGATGATTCAAAAGAGAGACAGTGTGGTTTTCTGTATCAGACACTAAAAGTTTTACATTTCAAACAGCTAAAACCCCCCCCCCCCCCCCACCACCCATTTCCATTCCATCTCTTTCCCCTCACTTCCTTTGTCTTTCTTCTCCCAGAGAGAAACACACCTGGAATGTTTTCATGGTTCATGGGATCGTGTGGTTAGTTGTCAGCCTGCAGACTGCGGCCTGCCTGATCAGTCTCATGTCTACCACGCCATATTCAGTTGCCCCTGGGGAACCACATTCGGCAAACAATGCTCCTTCACCTGCGGATCACCAGCTATACTTCAAGGTACGTCATGGATTTGTCTATTCTGTTCTATTTTAGTGCAGTCGAGTCTATTAGCATATTCTTTGTTAGACAGGAATGGATACTGAACATACTGAGTGTATATTAAGGTCACACTTGGTCACACTTCATAGTGCCACTTTCAGGTTAACCATGCAAACCATACTTATTTTTCAGAACTTGTTATTTCTTATTGGCTGCTGTTCCCAATTAGATAAACTGACATTCAATGAGTTTCAATCAAAGAGTCATTTAGGATTTGAGGAACCTCATTTAATGAACACACTTTTTTAATTTCTCAAAATATTTCATTTTGCTGAATGATAGGGTCCACACTTTCTCAATAAAATATCGCTTTCAATCAACAACTCAGCAGCTACCTTACAACCCGCTTCCTCCTCCTTTACAGTCTGGTGAACAGACAAACCACAGCAAGATGCTTTCACTAGCTACAGTCCATAAAATAAAATGGACATTAATCCTTGATTTAATTAAATTAAAGTTTAGAAATTGGAGCCCTGTTTTTTTACTGGGCGCATCCTGTTATAGTTACTGACAGTGTTTATTTAAAACAAATTTGTCTGAAAAAACAGAAAAGACAAGGGGAACTAATCCACAGTGTTGCAATAAAATCACAGTGGAAATACCATTTTCAAAATCACAACCATGTCTTCTCTCAATGAGGCTTGCTCCTCATAGTGCTTTTGCGGGCTTCATGGCCTTTAAAATTAGAGTGGATAACAGTAATTGAAATTCAGGAGGACCACTGATAGAAACATCTACACGCCATGTTCCTTTTCGTTTCTCACACGCACACACACCACAATTTACCTCTACTCAGATGTCGTCAATGTTTTTTAAAAGACTTTCACCATAACGAGTCAGAACAAATATTGCCTGTGGCACCCATAATTAGTACCATCACGCACACAAATTCTTAGTTACACACAAAAGTAAGAAAGCTTTACCCCTATTTGATAATGTTAATAAAGTTGTGTATTTGGTAAGTTATGCATTGTAGTAGATGCGTCTTGAAGTGATTAGATGGAACAAGTATGATGTCCACTCACATGTGTTTGCGGTTGAAAAGCCACAGTTAATGTTCAAATGTCGCAGTAGAGTCAGCAGTAAGGCCCATGTACTCATGATGTAAATACAGATTGTGCAGAAATAATTCCATTTGTGGCTTTTGGTTTAGGGAAGTATGTTTGAAGGCCATCATGCCTCACAGAGCAGTGAAAGCACACTGTGTAGTTCACAAGAATATGTTCAATTCACACCAGTCCAGCTGTAATGGATTTTGATAATCACAACACCAGCACAATGTTTAAATGGCTTATAAAAAATGTGATGCCATGTTAAAGATTCATTACATTTTATAGATCTAATAAAAATTAAAAATTGTGAAAGGTTTAGGTTGTTATGATTCTGCACGCATACCAACACTCATGCTTCACGTGGGACCATACAGGCATAGAAAATATTAGCTTTGGGCAATGTTGAAGCCATAGTCTCCTTCTCCTCATAACTGAAGAAGACAGAGCCATGAAACAAAACCAGAATGTTTGGTGGGACTGAAATGAATCCACGATGTTGACCTACTTGTGCTTCTCCAATGTACTTCTTTGTTTTTTAGTTGTATAGTGCCGAATATATAACTCTAAAATGTATGTTTCAAAGCAAGGCAATGTAGCTTTTGAAAGACAAAATCACACAATCTTCCTCTTTTAAATGAAAAGTTGGATACATAAGCAATTAAATAAACTGTAGCTCAATTCAATACACTCATGGGGTTTGCTGCTAAAACATCACTTGATCTGGTATGACTAGTGGCTTAGTGGCTAATGTTAGCTACTGTTTGCAAACTACAGATAAATGTTACTTGGTAAATGACATCACTGAAGATTACAAAGTCAGTTAGTTGACTTTATGACTCACCTCTATACTTGTGCTACAGGTACACTACACTGCATGTCACAGACATTTCTGCGGTTTTATAAATTATTATTTTTATTTTTTACCACACCAAGAGACATGTTTGCTTGTATTCCCATTACACTCTTTCCCATGTCAGCTCTTTAAACACTTTGCTAAAGAGAATCTTGGTAATTTAAGTGCCATTAACCTGTAATTACCACATGTAGTCAGAGTGGTTACTGCAAATCTTATAATGTGTCCAATACAATCTGCAGTTTTCAAAATGGTGTAGAGGTGAAGTCAAATCTGTCCAGAAGTGAAAATAAAAAAAACTCTGACTTAACTGAAGTTGCAAGTTGTAGTTTATGCAGGTTTAGAATAATAGAGATAGAAATAAAAAGAATAGAGAAAACAAAACACACAAAAAAATACAAAATTTTTAACTTAAAATTCCCCTCTCCCCTCCTCAGGTGACAGTGACAGGTTGGTGTGTTTGGAGGACGGTCTGTGGTCTTTCCCAGAGGCTTATTGCAAGATAGAGTGTCCAGAGGTTCCAAACATACCCAATGCCAAGCTGTTAACAGCAGACTGTCTGGCCTCAGGGCAGGATGTAGGCTCTGTCTGCCGTTACAAATGCAACCCAGGCTTCTATGTAATAGGGAGCCTCAAAAAGAAGATAAAGAGGTAAGTGTTTTAAAGCAGTTGGCAGCTCAGAGGTCAGGGAATAGTGCTACAGCTCCCAGGGCTTGCAGTATAGACTAGCATCACTCATATGAAAAATGTATGTATTACAGGGATAGGGAGTAATTGTAAATTCAGCAAATATTTCATCACGGTTTGCTAGCTCTCTGTTTTGTGTGTTCTCTCGGTTTTCCTACACCGACCTGGCTCTGTAAATGAAAAAACAAAGACCGGAAGTGTTTCTCAAAATCAAGAATGTAAAGAACGGACTTGTGTTCTTGGGGAGAACGTTCTTGCTAGTTGTTCTTGGAAGAAGGAACTTTTAATGTCACAAGCACACAAAACGCTGCTGATGGTTTGAAATGATCTACACAGTTGATTTATCGCCTCTAAACTTCTCAGAAGTTGACCTCTGTCTCAGCTTCTTTCCGTCCCTCGCTTGAATGCCGAAATGAATGCTGGGATATCTCTGCCGTCAAGTTCACACAAGTTACCAACCAATGCATCCTCAGTAAAATGGGCGTGTCAAGAATACTTCCGGAAATTTTAACCGTTCTTACCAAAATGCAAACTTGTTTTTTGAACACAGATTGAGAAAGGCCCGAGGACAAGGTCCACTTAACATTGTTACAGCCAATCAGCAACAGGTGGTGTTAATGCTCGTGCACAGGAGTGATGGGTGGAGGGGGGCAGTGGGAGAGAGAGTTCTATACACCGGCACAATCAAATATGCTGGGCTCCAGACACTGTGAAGACGAGAGATGGCCGAGAAACAGCCAAAGAGGAAAAGGTCTGCAGAGTATAAACTGAGAAGAAAGTTATATGACCAAGCAAGGGCAAAATGTGGGGGGTGGAGCTTCTGAGGGAGCACTGAAGGGAGGGGTGTGTTTGTTTGGCAGCAGAGTTCAAATATCAACAATCCTTCTGCAGAATCACTTACTCTCCCTTTAAATACTAGCAAGCCTGCGTAGACAGCAGACCAAAGTAAATGCAGTGTTTTATCACGCATGCCTCCCTGCGTAATGGAGTAAATTCCTTCTTTTCCTTTATTTTACAAGATTCCCTTTACGCACTTGTTAATAAAATCAGGATCTTTGATTTAGCTATTTTATGCAACAGTATAACAGTGCATCACATGAACATTCAAGACCCAAGGGCAACGTTTTAAATATCGATCAAGTTTAAAGAGGCATTTTTTGGTCCATCATCTGTAAAACGATACTCTGTTTCGGAACAAGCTCACATTAGGTTCCAATAAAATATTTACCGCTCCTAACTGGGCCTCGTCATTACTTTGCCAATTTTATTCATTGGGTAACTTGCTCATTACTGAACACAGTTCACATGTTGTTAATGAGATGAGGGTTTTCTAATAGGAGGAGACAGCCTCTGGGGTGAATTTATATCCTACATGGAGTCAGCTATTTCACACTTTTCAGTCTGTATTAGTAGTAATCAAATTGTTAAGTTCATGTACAATATACAGTATAGATATGCTATATTTCCTTGGTGTATTGTCTTGAATTGTAATTAAAATGCAGTGTATCAAATATCGAACATGCTGACTTGTACTGTCACATTAGGCAAGTAAAAAAAAACCATTTAATAGTTTTGCATTACATTAAATTTCCATCCAATACGGTGAAAAACTATTTTATGTAATGATCCATTTGCAGCTGGGTATCTTTATGAGTTACGCTTTCTCAAACATATGTGTAAACATTTTAATAACCCCTGATGCTTTATTAGTCCAACATGTTCAAGTGAACAGCAGCAGCTATTAAATAGCTTTAAACAGGCTTTTTACTCTTGCTTTTGACACATGTACCCACATAAATTTATACTGCAACACATACTGTTGCATTTACACACTACATACACCACACTGGAGATCTTGTTTTACTGTAGAATGGGCAGTCCTTTGCACTCAGTATGTTTTTTGTTATTGAAACAGTAAAAGTAAAATGGGACAATAGAGAAGGTGAGCAGGGGTATAGAGTGCATGTGGTTCTAGAGGGAGTTTGTTATGTTAAACCTCAATACACTTCCAACTTTTGATAAATAAATGTCCACTTTGGTACAGAATGATACAACAGAATTCAGCAAACAAGACATTTTGGACATTTTTTGACAAAAATCCCTATTATTGCAGACAACTAAAACTTTTTTTAAGTCTTTAAAAGTAATTTTAACTTTGTGTTGTCTAAAATTAAGATAAAGATGTTTTCATATGCTCCTGTTGTCTCTAGGAAGTACTTCAAGTTGGTGTGCCTGGAGGGAGGGCAGTGGGAGGAAACTAGCTGTGAGCCGATATCCTGCCCAGCCCTACCTGATGTATTCCAGGGCATGTATACCTGCACCAATGGCCTGTACTATGACACCCTCTGCACCCTGAAGTGCCCAGATGCAAAAGAAAATGTAGGATTTCAGCCGCTGTCCATTTATTCCACAGTACTTTTGATCATTATCAACACAGTGGTGTGACCATCAAGTCAATTTTAGATCAGCTGGACACAATAAGACACTTGAATCCTCCATATTGAATGTTTCTAGGTCATGATGTAGTAAAAAAGATGCAAAAGTCTAAGAGGATGTAAAAGGTGTCATCACTTTGAAAATGTATCTTAAACCAAACTTCACATCTCAAGACTGATGAATATAGACACTATCACAATATATGTAATACAATTTTGTTTGATGGCAGACATGATAAACAAAAGACATTCCTCTCTGAACCACTACGATTTTAATATGCGTTTGTTTCCAGAGTGAGATTCGCTGCACTAAGGATGGCGAGTGGACGACGACGTTCACCATGTGCTCCAGGCTCCAGGGCTCATGCTCTCCTCCCCCTGATCTCAACTCTGTTGAGTACAGCTGTGACCAGGGGATGGATATCGGTGAGTGTAACCTTCTTTCAGGGATGAGAGTGTCTTTAGCTTGTCTTGTTACACAACACTCCACTAAATGGACAATGGCGGTAGAGCATCGCTCATGCCTTTTCCCCTCTCACACTCATTCCTCATTTTCTATTGGTATTCCTTGACTTAGATTTGAGCCATTGACTAGCTCACATTATATACAATACTTAAATCCTGTCCAGATATTAGTGGATATATAACACCATCATTTGAATCTCAAACCAGGTCTGATACAGTCGCTTGATTTATTACCTTCTACGGTTAAAGTGTCAAATACTAATGTCTTATTTACCCAGCCACGACAACAGCAAAGCTTCTTCTCTCACCTGATAAAAAATGAAGAGCCTATATTAAACAAGAGAGGGTAACTAGGGCACAGATACCACAGAGTAATGGTGGTATTAAAGTGTAACTGGCTATTTGCACCACAGTGCAATTTTGGAGAAATTCATCCATTCTTTTACCTCCTCCTGCCTCTAGTACTGTGACTGTCTCTATATACCTGTCTGAGTCGGAAATCAATCCACTGCCTTGGATAAAAGGCTGCAGGTCAGCTTTTAACTAAATATATATTATTTTGTGTCCATATCACCCCTGTTTTAGCATCCTTGCACTGGCTGCCTGTTTCTTTTAAATCAAAAGTATTTAAATTACTTTGCATTTAATGTTTGTTTATGTTTGTTAAACACATATATACAGCTATAGTAGCTTAACAGCATCAAACTCATAAGGAAGTCATAACATTACATGCTGGCAAGTAGATAAAAATGTGTTATGGGAGTTTGTCAAGCTGTAGTTGAATTCTACTGACTGAGGACTTGAACCAATGGACGGGCTCACAGCACACACAAACAGTAGAAACCCTCCTACAGTGACGGTTACCAAGAGTGTGGACTACAGATGACAGCATGGTCTAACGTTATTAGTTAGTTATAAGTTTCTTCCTCAGTGTTTGAACATGAATAAATTCAACTGATGCTAGTGAGGGTTAGCGATGTTATTACCTCCGCCAAGAAGGTTATGCTTTCAGTGCTGTTTGTTTGTTAGTTTGTCAGCAAGGTCATGGAAAAACTACTGGCTGATTTTTATGGAACTTGGTGGAAGTTGGGCCAAGAAAGAACCCATTCGGTTTGGAGAGGATCTGAATGATGGGGCTCTCTGAGTGCCCTTCTAGCTTTTGATAACTGCCCCCCCCCCTTCCTTTTCCTTGCAGGTGCTGTTTGCTACCCAACATGCATTGTGGCTCTGGACATGGATCTGCGTGACCCTGTGGTCCTTCCCAATGGCACTACAGCTGACTCTTTAAAGCACTGGATGCTGGCCACCAAAGTCCAGGTGAGACACCTGAGGAGTCAGTTGCTTAAGTTTTTGGCTAGACCGCCGAAAAGCCTGGCCAGTCCTATAAATGCGAAAGTCTGTCCCTGAGTCTTGTTTCTCTAATGATTCTATTTAAGTTAATTGAAGATCAGTTCAATTCTATTGTTCTGTACCATCACTAATCAAATACTAAATATCTCAAAAACAACAAAGTACTTTTTTAATATGCATAGTTCAAATCATCTATGTATATGTATATACACAGCGATTTAACCAAAATATATTATGTAAACTTTAGTTAACTTCTATTTAATAAATTAAAGTTAAGCAAAACTAAACATTCCACAAATTGAAAAATAAAAAACAGCAGCCAGCCAAGGGGAATGTTTTCTATTATATTTTCACTAGTAACATTGCCACATGTGCATGAACATGGACAGGAGACATGTACTGTAGCAACAAATCTTCTGCTCTCTCCCTCTTCATGCTGGCCTTGACCGATTGCTTGCTTACATAACATTTTACATTACATTTTTCTCTTTTACGACAGCGGCCTAAATGCGGTCAGTCTCTAAAACTTTGAATGAAGCCTGCCTCTCTGCTTTAAAGGTTCATACTGATGTTTTATCTACTTTACGTCTTACTTTACATTCGTCTGCTGCCTCCCTCATAACCACTGTTGTAATTCCAGCAATTTGGTGATGTGTTGGGAAGCTTAATAGAGGTTAAAAAAATGATTGTCAAATTTGAAGCTGCAGAGGCTGCGATGTCATGACGTTGTTCACCTCTAGTATGGCTCAAGCTCTAAAAACACAGGATTTTTTCCATAATGTCTTTTAATAGACCCTCTTGTAAATGAAATGCATGCTTTCTGCTAAAAATGTGTAATGATCAAGTGCACCCTGACATTACTCATATGATGTCACTTGAGTAATTTTCTCACACTTGGCAAAAAGTACATACATAACTACGCGGTACTCCCTGTGACTAATATATTGACTTTCACATATGAAATTAGTGGAGTACTCCCTTAAATTTCAACCTTCAGAACCTTGGATGACTATTACTTTAAATATTTCCATCCCATCATGTTCTAAATGCTCAGACAATTTTCCAAGTACATAATTTTTGAAGAAACATCAAATCCTTGTAATTTTGGCTTTCTGGCATGAACATTGTGCTGATATTGGATATCTCATAATTGACAATATCTACTATTGGCAGCTAAAGTGCATTTTAAATGAATCCATATATGTCAAAATTAGACTTAAACTCGTAAAATAGTAATGGGCTACAGTCAGTGTCCATTTCAATAAATACAGAGCAGTGAAATATAGGAGGGGCTGTACAGATCATCTTGCAGAACTGGTTGCATCTGTTGCTAAGCTGTTTCATATTGCATGATGAGGCGTAACGAGGTGAAAAATGAGAGAGCTTGATTGGTTTAAATAATCGCAACTGAGCAAGGCACTATGGTTTTGCTACCATTTGGAAACTCTTGGCGGGTTTTGTAGAACAGTTGATGTTTTGCTCGCTTTGCTGCTATGCGACCAGTCCATGGCGCGGTGAAAGCCGATCCACTGACAAACAGCGCTGGGATTTTTACACAAAAACACCCATCCGAATGAATAATGCATCCAAACATCTGGTGGTCTGAATAACAGCATGAAGTACACCGAGCTACTGCTCCAGCCTGACTCACCTTTACTGATAAGTACACAGCCAAGTTATTACAGTTAAAGACAGACAACTAATTTGGACAGCTGACAATTTGCTACCATACATATTTGCATCAGACTTCATCAGACACATCTCCTCTTTTTTTATTTTTAATCCATCACAACATCATGTGAAACTTGGGCGTCATGACTGACGACCAACTGTCCACCCCAGACTTTGCCCCCACCACCTCCCAGTTAGGTTCAGAATTAATATTTATATCTCTGACTGCGTATGTCTTTATGTCTTAAATCCCCTGAGAGAGGTGTTCTTTGCTTGATTGCGAAGAATTTCAAGCTTTGTTTTAAAATGAGCAAAAAGTGCTACTCCTGTGAAAAAGGACTACAAAAGGACAACACAAAGGGTTTGTAATTTGTTAGTTTAGTGATAGTGATAGGATGGATAAAAGGAGATGGTGACTTGAAACTTTCAGTTTAGCTTGAATGGAAATGAACTACATGGTCATTAGCTGCAACACAACAACTCCCTGTAGATTCATTCCACCTTAATACCTCTTTTTACATTAGAAATAAATGATTACCACATTCAAATTTCAAAAGGAGCCAAAGTTGGGAAAAGAAATTCCTTTTGAGTTTTAACAAATGTATGGTAAGTTCAAGTTCTTAATTGTCATGTGCACAATAATTAAAGTGAAGCAGTCACTGGCAATAAAATGCTCAAACAATATGTATAAAAATAAAATCACGCAAATCAAACAAAAAAAAGATATACTGCATATACAGTGTTATGTTACTTTCTCGATTAATCCATTAGTTGTTTGGTCTATAAAATGTCAGAAAATTATGAAACATTTCGATCAATGTTTCCCAAAGCCCAAGGTGACGTACTCAGATGCCTTGTTTAGTCCATAAGATATTCAGATTACTTTCATAAGAGTAAAGAAACCAGGAAATAATCACATTTAAGTAATCACATAAGCGTGAATCAAAAAATATTGACTTTCTTCTTAAAAAATTACTCAAACCGATTAATCCATTATCAAAATAGTTGGAGATTAATTTAATAGTTGATAATCAATTAATAGTTCTCTAGACAGTAGAAGAGGGACAACTGTAGACTCTAAACGGAATATGGGTGGTTCGATCCCTGGCTCTTCTAGTCTGCATGTCAAAGTGTTCTTGGGCAAGACGATGAACCCTGAATTTCTCCTGAAGGCTATGCCATCAGTGTGTTTCTGATGAACAGTTGGCACCTTGCACGGGGTCCTCTGCCATTGCTGTATGAATGTGTGAATGTAACATGTAGCTATAAGAACTCTGATTAGTCAGAAAACTAGAAAGGCGATTAACAAGTACAGTCTATTTACATTTAGCAAGTCTATCCGTCAATGTTGTGAGATCATTTCCAGCTTTTTCTAATATCCTTAATTACTCTTTTCAGGATTCAGGTGTCATGTTTTTTTAGTCTACAGAAGTGACCAGCCACACAACTGCAGTGAAAATTGGACTTATATATCATTACTATTTGCATTTTTTTAAAAAGTAAACAATACCTTTCTAGTAATATTTTAAACCAAAGCACTTAAAATAAATTTTGCAGTGAGTGTAGTAAATAAAAAACACATAAATTGCAGAATTTATTTTTTAATAAAAATCATCTCAAATGGCTTCAAAAGTCTCTCTAAGTACTTAAAAATGCTGCCAATGCTGTCTCATGTGTATGTGAATGTGCATTCGTTATCATTCAAGCGTTTTAGAATTACTGGAAATCCCAGGCAGATAGCAAGAGTAAAGGTTCCAGTTGACGTCAAGCCGTTTAGGAAATACACACATCTCTCACACACACAGTGTATACAGTTCACAGTGAACACACTCGTAGGAATGTCAGATCTTGGGTCGGAGTTAGAGCGCTTTTGTTTTGCTTTAAAGGTGGGTCATGTTACCCAATATCATATCTCAGGAATCGCTTCTACGTTAACGCTGTCGCAAACACTGCTCCAGTTTCACCTTACTTTTGGGTGGTCAGTCAGCCAGCCAGCCAGCCAGCCAGCCAGTTAATCCGCCCTTGCCAAGGTCAAATAGTTGGATGGAGGTCTGGTTACTTACGCCATATCTCTGACACTGCCTTGTGATTTCAAGGCATTGTGTTATCTCAAATACTTCAGAATCAGGTCTCCAAGAAATCACAGGGGAGGATCCACTTTCGCTGTCCATATTTGTTAGTCAATCAGCTATCTGCTAACCACCTTCCAAATTTCTGGGGTCAAATAAATGAGAGAAGACCCACAGCCTCACTCAGTATCTAGAACTCAGAATTTTGATTTTTAAGTTGTATAAAGCAATTATTATTCTTCCATCACAAAGTTTTTAAAGCATGCACAAACAAATACTACAAAAAGGCAGCAAAAGCTGTTACAATGTTTTGCATATGTCCATGAAAACAGTAGGACATAAAGTTTGCATCAAAATGAGTGCAATATGTGCATTTTTATGTAATAATTCATGGTAAAGGAGGCCAAATCTGAGTGGATCATTGACAAAAAGGATTTTGTCAACACTATTACAAATGTTACTCATTGTTTTATCATTAAAATACAATAAACTATAAGCATGCACGAGGCACAGTGTTTATTCATTGTATACATGCTGGTTGCATTTCATGTTGACTCCTTTCCATTTCTGCACTATGATGTTTCCCCTTTATTGTAAACATCCCTATATTTACAATAATAATAATAATAATAATACTCAGATTTCCATGAACCTTGCTGTAGATATTCATGGTTCCTGAGAATTTGTGCCTTTGGTGATCTCGCTGACCTCTGTTCTTGTGTTTACAGTGTAAATTTTACAGAAATTATGGGCAGAATCCCGTGAAACTTGCATAAGCATTTAGTTAGAAGCTGTTTAATCTTAATACGGAAACACACTAGTGTGGTCTGCGAGCAGATTGGCATTATCCTCCATCTACAGTATGGCTACTTATGTTCACTTTAATTAAATTATTCTCAACTAGTACTACTTTGGAGCCTCAACGACACAAAAATGAAAATGATTTTGTGACCGAGTGTAATATGTTTTTTCATGGCAAACACAGTGGTTATCCATTTCCTATGACTGTGTTTCTCAACCGTTTCTTACGTGCTTTGTTTTCCAGAGCATAGTCTGCACAGGGATGATGAAGTGGTACCCTGACCCTCAACACATCCATTGCATCCAGTCATGTGAGGTAAGAGTCCAACCAGCCAAGAGGTCCTGCATCAAATACAGGAGTATATACAAATACTTTTCATCCAGATATCAGTCTCACCCAGGTCTCTGAAGCTGTTAAAAGAGTGAATATCTATTGTAGTTATGACTGATACAGTATCTGGCCATGGTCTACAAAAAAGGATTTGAGAGAGAGTGCCTAGTTATCGCTTCTGTATGTCAAAGATCTGATGTTTTTTGTGTGGTGAGAGGAACAAGTTCAAAGAAGCGATTGTACCTTTTTCCACTTAGTGTAAATGAGCACCAAGGCGCTTTGTGTACATAGTGTTTGATACAGTGCTTGCTTAGATGAAAGTGTAATTCTGTCGTTACATAACATGTCTAGTATGTACTTATGTGTGCTTTTAAAGCCTCAAGGTCAGGAGGATCTCAGTTTGGCTTTCGTTCTGTTACTATCAAAAGATATTTTATTAACGTTGAGATAGGGGATACTTAAAACAATTACAACATTTCTGGGCATAACCGCATTAAATTTACTGCCCTAGCCAGACCTTTCCAATAATATTAAACATGAAGCATAACATGCTGTATCCCTGTTGTCATCACTACTCAAGATACCAGAGCCAGTGTGCAATGTGCTTCACATTTCATGACGACAAATCTCAGAAATTGATATCCTCACACTTCAAACTTTACAAGAATTCTTTTTAAATCTGTCCAAAGAACCTTTTTTTCCAGGGATCCTGGCATTGCCAAATGTTGTTAAGCCTGCCAAGCCTAATAGATTATCTGATAGGAAGGAAAATAAATTAATCACTGGATTATGTTAGATTTAGATTAATTATTTAGGCTGACACAAGGCTTTTAAATCTTCTGCCTAGTTTAAAAACAGCCTACCTAGTGTGTGCTTGAACTCTTATTGTTTAACATAGGGAGCCAGATAAGGTTTCCTACTTAGTGACAAGGTAACTTAAGTTTATGTCATATATTACAGTAAATTTGGTTTCTGTGAAGTAGTATTTTGATATTGATGGTTCCCAGAGGATAAATTCTTAAAAAAAACAAAACTTAAGGTCCACTTCCGAGCTTTATTCCAGTGTAACTTCATCTAATGCTCTCCAATAACAGCTAAAGTTTCCTCAGCTGTCATGGAGATAGTATGGAACTGGTGTTTAAAGATACTCTTTAGACAAGTGAGCCATCTCCACAACAACCGAGCAAAACCGTGGGATTATGTAGAAAGCGCCAGGAAAAAAAAGCTTGTAAGTAGAGTTGTTATTATTTTGTCAAACTATTTCCAAGGTTAAGAATGAACACTCATGAATTTTATTGCTTGAGGGGACCCCTGACTGTTCATCTCATGCCACCATCAGGCCAAAACTTCCGTTTTTACAGATGTAATATCAAAACTCACTGACCGATTGCCATGCATTTGCCATAGCGCATTCAAGCTCCCCAGGGTTATAAATTCCACAGATTTTGATAACCTCATGGGCTTCCCCCTAGCAACTTCAAGATAAGCTCCCCATTACTCTAACTATAACTGCTGACAGGAATAGCAAAGGGGTCAGTATGTTGTTTGTTCTAACACCGTTGTATTGTGGGCTATAATGAAAATTGCAGCCTGTAGAGAGGCCGCTGTAGCACAACGTCCGACTTATAGGCTTGTTCAATTTCATCATATTTTATGTGCTGTATCATAAATGAGTAAGTTTAATTTGCAAGTTAATGTCTAGCTCTGCTCAGTAATATTTTAGCAGTGACAGTAAATCATCTAAAATCATAAACCCAGATAGCTTTTATTTGGCATTCATCTGTTGGGTTCAGAAAAGGCTGGAACTACCGATGGAACACATAAACTGTTGATGTCTCACGGTATTAAAATATTCTTCCTACCTGCCAGCACTACATTTTCCCCTTCCACCTTCCCGTGAATGTTGCTAGGCAAAACAGTTGCTTATAACCCGCTCCTCCATGACAACACTGTAAATTATACCAGACCACATGTGCTGCAAATGCTCTATGCCAGATTTCATCCAGATGCCATTGCTCCCTCTCTTTCTCCTACCCAGCCTCTCTTTCCATTCTTTTCTCAAACCCGGTTGACAATTAGCGCCAAAGTCAGCTCAGGCGTCTTATCAGCACAGCAGCCCCTGTACAACTGCCAGGCTGAGGCCGTTCTGTAGTGGTTGTATCCACTCTTTAACTGCAGAAATAGTTATATCAGTGACAAAATACCTGCTGTGTCCTTCTAGAAGTGTCCTCACATTTTCTTATAATGTTCTCAATGAATAAAAGATTTGCTGGACCAATAAGGACAAAGAATGTGATAAGTGTGTGTAACAGCAAGCCAATTAAATGCATTGACTCATGCTTCATTTAATATAAGGCATTTAGACAAAGAGAATAGAATCCATCTATGTTAACCATTTGGTTTGGTGGATGCTGTGTTAATCCCCTTGATCACATCATGAAGCACTGTATCGTAGCTTTCCAGTCTGAAACGAGTAAGAACAAGTTACACCTTGAGGATTAGGGATAGTTGTGTTTATGTCACAATAGTTCTGCACAAGGCTGGATATCCACAAAGAACATTTCAGATTCTAACCTCAGCCACACATCTGACACCTGAAGTTCTCCACTGGCTCAAAGTGGGTGACCATTTGCTTTTTGCTTTAGATGGGAGATTAGGGTTTGACATGAATTGAAGACAAAGTGGACCAAACGTAAATTCAACTCAACTCAAGACTAATGATTTTTTGCTGAATTTTCAATAATAGAAATAAAAGCAGTCCAGTTGAGTAAAAAACAAAGGTCTCTTTATAGAGCAAATCATTTGGTACATTTCTTAGCTTTCTAAAAACAAAGCTTGTTTATCAAGAGTCATGGATTGTTGGAAACGTGTGATTGCACCATCTTCAGATTCTGCCCCTTGGATTGATTAGATTGATTTTACTAAGCTGTACTTTGCCTCATTAGCTAGCATGTTTGTTAGCTACTGTATGTTCCCTAGTAGGACTATTGTTCCCTCACTGTACTTTGAGCAAAGTTTCCTGCTGTTCCTGACAGAACACACTTTACATTAAAATGATTCACTTTTGGGTGAATTCTTTCCCTGCTTACCATCCATTACTTCTCAGTAACTTCCCTGGATCCAGTTTACCGTGGCAACAGACTAAACAGAACAGGCAAAATGTGGATTGCCTCTGCCACATCTTCCAGTGGTTCCAACAGAATCCTGTTGTGTCCGCAGTAGGGCTGACTCCGAATAGTCGAAGATTCGATGCTTCGATGGGCGGAGCCTAATCTGACTGTCAATCTTACAGTCGAAGCTTCGCAGCGAAACGAGGATAGTGCCATTTTTGTGATATGGGGGTGCTCAATGTCTGGAGGAACCGTGACGTGCATGCAGTTCTTGGCAGCATGGCATGCACGCAAAACTCTTCACAATCACCGCACACAAAAATACACATGATTCGACTATAGGCAGGACTTGACGATTCTGATTCAACTATGTAAATCCTTAGTCGGGGACAGTCCTACTCCACAGGCTATTTAGTTTACAATATCTCTTCGGCATGTTCTGGCGTTTCCTTGGGATCTCCATTTAATCTTCCAGTTCGACTTACTGAGTTACTCAGAAGGTAACCACTGGAACAATCTACTAGGGATGAAACGATTACCGGTTTAACGGTAAACCATGGTAAAAGACAGTTATTACCGTACACATTTTAATTACTATGACAACCGGGTACGGTTAATCACGTTGTTATAGTCTCATGACAAACACTGTCCAGCGTCTCCCAGAAGCAGGCGCGCATGCGCAGAATGCAACGTGGGTTTGTTTGGGTCAGTGACAACACTGCAGAAGACAACGCTGCAGAGATTTTTCACTCACTCTGAAATCCGGTCGTATTTTAGTTTTTATGAGAGCGCTGAGGGAAACCTGATTGAAGTAAATGACTTTACAGTGAACGCAGGGTATATATAGCTTTGGCTTGTCTCTCTGACTTGCTAACAGCTTGTAAACTGAAGCTCTCAGTGTTGCTGCTCTTGTAAAAACGCTACATGTTGTTCTGTTGCTGTGTTTGTCCACTGCACATGAGAACACGTTACGCAGTTTAGTCAACCAACCAGCATATCTAGAAACGCTACAGACTCCTCTGTATTTATGTCAGTTTTTGGGCTCATTGCGGTCACTATCACTGTCTTCTAAATAATTGTGCACGGGGTCATTGTATTACCTATAAAATATAAAATCTTGATAATGCACACTTAGATGATTTTCATATGTTTACAAAAGGTATTTGCTGTTATTTTATTTTTTATGCAAACAAAATGGCAATTGTATTTGTAGTTTTCAATATACAACTTGGTGAAATGGTTTCAGTGTCTGTATCAGTACATTTTAATATTTTTTGGCACACTTTTACAATACCGTGATAATACTGATAACCGTGATAATTTTGGTCACTATAATCGTGATATGAAATTTTCATACCGTTTCTAACTAATCTACCAGCTGCTACCCACACCAATGGTTTTGTGTGAAGTCATGAATCTGATGTTGAATTTTCACACAGGTTAGACATCTGCATGCTTGTATTTCCATACAACAGAATGGCATGATTAACTGTGCTGCTTACCTTAATGTGTTTTAGGAGGCTTAAGAATCACCTCAGAGGTACAATGTGTAAGAATTAAGACTTCTCCCCACCATAAATAATGGGGAAGCATATCACATATCATAGTCATAGCTGCTGCTCACTGACATTAGCTAGGTAGCTCACTTATCCGTGCAGCGAACTCTCCAAGGAGCTGACTGAATTCGAATTGGCTCCAAAACCAAGCCGGGTGAGACGGCAACGGAATGAGGCTCAGCAGCCTCCCTGTGAACCAAACAAAGCCTCCGACACCGACTGGAGAGGCAGCATTGGCGTGATGAGACAGAAATTTCCAATTTCAATTAAATTTTCAATGAAATTTTATTTAAATGGCGCCATTCCATAACAGAAGTTATCTCATTGCACTTTTCATATAGAGCAGGTCTAGACCGTACTCTTTGTAATATCTTATAACAGGTAGAAACAGAGGCTAGACTGGGCAGCCAACTGCTTGGTCCAGATGGGTTGAGGGGGGAAACGGGCCAGTTTGAAGGAGGTTTTGTTTTACAATGAGTTACAGTTAGTTCACTGAAAAAGCGAAACTCAGAGAATTCAGAAGGTGTACGGTTGTATTTTTCTTTTTGATCAAGAAAATAGATGTAATAGATGTGGCCAAATGGTAAATGGATTGTACTTAAAAAGCGCCTTTCTAGTCTTCGCACCACTTAAAGATCCTCACACTGCATGTCACACTCACCCATTCACACACACTTTCATACACTGATGGCAGTGGCTGCCATGCAAGGTGCCAACTGCTAACCAGAAAGGAAACAGGAAGTAATCCCATTCTCACTCACACACACACACACACACACACATAAAAAGAGGCAGTGTCATATTACTGAGCAGGTTTCACCACTTAACATGCTTTCTAATAGTCTATAACACATTAACTTAAAATAAACTTACAATAAAATATGCCAATTATGGTTCAAAAACAGGGTAAACGATGAGACAAATGCACAGACCTCCCTTGAACTCCCTGAACTGTCTTCCCTATCAAAAGGAAAAGCACTTTGAGTCACATGGAGAAGAAAAAAAAGGGGCAAACCTCACACTGCCTCAACTGTTTTCAGAGAGCGCTGGGCAAGAGAGGGTGAACAGAGAGATGATAAAATATCTGTTTTTAAAAGAATGATAGAGATACTTGGTAGGAAATATACACCAATATATTGCTGCTTGACAGGAAGGTGTCCACTAGAATTCATATCTGTGTTTTATAAAGTTCTGATAAAGAGCTTGACTGGTGCTGATGAGAGCACATGCTCCTCAAACAGCCAAGGCTAAGAGGTGGGGTTGGCTGCTGCTGCTTTGTATGTCTCTTTAACACTGATTTGACGGGAGTTACTGTGTAATGGTAATACACAAACCAGGTGACCTTTTAATTACCCACAGGGGACTAAGCTACGTAGCCAACCAAAGCTCGCTGAATACTCTTCATGGGTCTGTGCATAAGTAAGGTCTATGCTGCGTGGAGGGGAATGTAAATAATAATTAACCTCAACATGAGCCCCGACCTCAAAATTAACCTCGTGTTGGCAAAGTGTGGGGTCCATTAATTTTAACAATCTTAAGAAAATAAATAGATGCATGGGTAATGGAGATCAAACCCACATTAAAGCTCATCTATGGAGATCTTTAAAATTTTAATAAAACTGACAGCAGGCTAAGCTGTACTGCTATAAAGGTAATACAAAGATTTACATACTAGTAGTGATTTGGGTTAGGCATCTGGTGCACTTGCTGGTAAAGTATTTACTCAGAAACAGAACGATTAAATAGATTTATTTATGCCATAGCGGTTTAGTTGGGAAAGGCAAGGGGATTCGTCAAGTAGGGAGCTCTTTGATGTGAAGAGAAAACTGCAGAAATCTTCTCAGCAGCTGCTCTCTCCCCCTGCGCAGGTTAGGTAGAATCCTAAGTCTTTGAAATGACTCCATCAGCCCATCGGAGAAAGCCAAAAGTATCTTTGGCACTCAGCACACATTTTCATGTTGTTGGCACTTCAGGGAAGCCCTAAAGGTTTAGTTGAAAACACTAAAAAGGCTTTCATCAGTTTGAGATTCTATGTAACTTAAATTCCACAAATTTGCGTGCCACTTCAGTGTTTCTCCAGAAGGACTCCCACGCTGGCCAGAGCATTGCAAAAAACTGTTTTAGGAATTGTCATTAATAGATATTCTAAGTAAGGTGAACCGTGCTGTACCTGAACAGTCATTAAATGGCATCTGTCTGTCTACTCTATCTCTACTCTAGCTAAACGAGAACATTTCTTGCTTAATTGTGTTGATTCTACATCAAATTGGCATGTTGTTTATCCTAAAATGCCAAAAGAAACAATTTTCCCTCCATGTCTTCTTAATGACTCTAAAAGTGAAAGCCATTTCTACTTGTGCGGCTGGTCTCGGATCTTTTATCAGTACATTTAATATGTTTCTATCACCTGTGCCATAATGCAGTTCAGACTTTAAACAAATGATCTTCCACCATCCAAATGGCTACCATAGCAAATATCAGCCTACAAAGTCATACTTCTTTAGTACCGTAGCCCTTTAGCTTTCAAGGTGAACGGCTGTGGATACATCATTGGATTTATCAGTTGGGGCCATTCTTTCTGAACCTGTTCACCCCCGAGGTCTTGCAGGTTTAACATCTGCAGCAAAGGCTGAGTGCACGTAGCTACTAAAATACAGAGCAAAAAGCACCGGGCCGCATGCTCCACAGCAAACAGTGGCATGCAAAGAAATCATTCATCTAAAAATAAAAACTATCATTTTTAGTTGTACATTTCACAGTAACACTTATGTCATCAGCTGCGTTGGATAATCACAGATTCAGTTTATTTGATTTTTAATCTAGGAAGTTATCTTTAACTGTCCTTGCAGGGTGCAATTGGCATGCAGCTCAACAGGCACATGTGGTGCTGTTTTATGTTTTATGTTTTATTATAACTCCACCTACTTGGGAAAGTTTTGGTGTACCCCACCCAAAATTACAGTACATGCGTTGAATTGAAGCTTGTTCTATGGACAGACGTCGCCCTCTGTAAGTGGTTTGTCAGAGCTGCCAATGAGCATGCAACTCACTCCCTTTTATGACTGAGCGTACAACTTGGATTGAACTTGGATTAGGCTGCACAAGTGTTTATTATGATTTGTTTAATGGTCATTTGTTCCAAACAATGTAATTATATGACAATGTCTGCCACTTACTGAAAATCTGTTTTCTGGGAAGATGGGGTTTTTTTTGGCCCTCTTGGCCTTCCATGCTGTGTGATGTATCATAGTAATTTTGGGGAGAACATTAATATTGTTTCTTGTTTATAACTTGTTTTTAGCCTTTTGGAGGGGATGGCTGGTGTGACACTATCAACAACCGGGCCTACTGCAAGTATGATGGAGGAGACTGCTGCCCATCCACACTCTCAACCAGAAAGGTACACAAACAGACATTCCAGTTCTGCACCTCCTGTCTGCGATATATACATATGAAGAGAAAGATTGATTTTCATCACTTTTCTGCTCTCTGTTCTTTATCTGTTTTTGTTTTAATAATAACTATTTTGGGGTATTCTTTTAACAAATAAAATAGCCTACAATTTGCTTTGTTTAAAAGGTGGCAACATGTTGTTTGACTTGGTCCACGCTCACATCTTGCAATCAAGATGGAGCTTAGATGCTGAAGCTGGATTCAAAGCCAGATTCTTCCTGTTTACAGTAGTAGAAATCCGTCTCTTTTGGCACAAGCGCTGTGCCGCTACGCAGGAGACTTCTACTAAGCAAACAAACACAGATCCCTGCTAGTTTCCCCTCTCTCCCTTTTAACGACTGCTCCTATTTAGTCTCGCTCATCTGTACTTAAAACAACCTTGTGCCCTCCAGCTTTTCCACTCAAATGGTAAATAAGCAGGTTTTCACCACCCTACGCTGCTTTACACTTTCTCACCTCTCATATCAAGCTATCGCTCCATTGCAGAAGGAACTATTCAGGGTTCAGGACAACGCATAGCTAATAACAAAGCATAATAATTCCTGATGAGATTTTCTTCTATTACAACAATGAAAACCCCCACGGTATTATTTTGGTGGGGGTCCCCAAAACATCAACTTTAAAGCTTCTGTAGTGGAGATGAGAATTTTGTTTGTATTGCACCTCTACACTGATATTGGCCTAAAATCTAATTGCATTTTAAAATAAAGCTTGTAATGCAGGGCTAATGAGTTTGACAAATATGTTGGATATCTTTGTGTTTATCCATCCTAACAAACTCCCCCTGGTGATAGCTTATTCGTGCTTGCTACAAAATGCAAATGCATCACATTACACTAATTGCTCTAAATGATTGCTGTATATATTGGGTGGCTAAGAGGAATGGTATGAATAATAATGAGCACGTCGGGCCAGTGGCAGAAACCGGGCCGCTGATTCCCCCAACTGCTTCTGCATAAACACGTCTTTTTTCCCCCTATTTTTCTGTGCTTTCATGAGAATTTCTCTCCCATGTGGACATTTGGGAAGTAGTCCCCCGCCCCACCACCATCCCTCTCACTATACCCTATTTGGCTACTGTACAGCCACACATTCATGACACTCATTCAAGGGGCCCTGCCTATTAATTCCTATGGCCTACAGTTGGCCGAGCCTTGGCTGTCTCCTTCATGTCCGCAGCACGCCATGACTCACCGGCAACTCCTTCCTAAATGGAGAAGGAGTTCAGCGAGTCTGTAGCTGCCATCATAATAAATGAGCTGCCAGACTGCCACTAACTGCTTTTTTATGTGGGGGGAGGTGGGGGTATGAGGGTGGGAGCAGCGAGGTGTTTGATGGTCTGCGGTTTACTCGGACGCTGTAAAACAGCAGCGAGCGGGGGTCGTTCTGAGGAAGTGAACTAAACTGCCGTGAGAGTCAGCATCCTTAGTGCCACCGCGGCTCCAGCAGAGCGATGGAGCAGAGTGGGGTAATGACGAGCAGTGGATGGAGGGTTTTGTTTACAGAACTCTATGTCTTTGGATTCGACTTGTGCAGGTGTAGGAAATTACAGGGTTTTTTTACACAGCATGACCCGCATCACATATTTCCTCTGCTGCCACACAAGAAAAAAAACTTGTGACCATGAGGTGAGTTTGATTTTTACCTTATTCTGCAAGTAACATGACCACTTCACAGATTGTTCCAGTATCTGGCAGGATGAGTCACCCGCATCTGAACTACATCAAATATTTGAATCGATAATCAAATCTATTTGTATCTGGATCAGTCTAACGGGGCCAGCTGCCTCCTTTTTATGGAGCTCAGGCAGTATTGGTTTTATTTAAAGGGGTAGTAGTAGCGATGACAAGGGAGGAGAGATACATGAGAGATGATTCAGGTGGGATTCAGTGATTAGCCAACAGAGAAAAGCTCCAGAAGAAAAGATCTGAGCTGCCACACCATCTATGGAAACATACAATCTTCCTTTGATTTGTTAACTGGAGTCTGTGTTTTAATCTGACAAAGGGCCAAAGTAGTAAAAGCAGCAAAGAGCAAACAGAAGGAGGACAAAGAGGACATGATTTTTTTTAGATTAGACTTGACGTTTGGTTTCGATTGCATGCGAGGTTGAATTAATTGCTTCTGAAACCTTTTGTCACAGGGCTTGTGTTCATGAATATGCTGTGGTAAACAGCAGGGAGGCAAGTAATCTGAACACTCAGAAACAGCCAAGAAGACTTATGATGAGGCAAAAACAAGCTTTTTCTTTCCTTCCAAAGGTTGTTAGAAGGCATCAAAGGTGGATCATTGCTTGGCTTGTTCTGCGCCTGCATAATGAATCAAGATGAAGCTGTTAAGGAAACATTTAACGGCCGCGCCAATTCGTCTTAAATGGGACTGCTGGCATTTTAATTGAATCTGGGCCTTCTGCAGCTTGTTGAGAGCCATCAGTGAGACTATTACCCTGCCATCAACCCCGTCTCCCTCTCTAAAAAGTGCAATCAGCAGTGAAGGCCGACAAGCTGCTACCTCCCACACTCCTTCTCGTCTTGCTTGCCGTCATCCTTATTTTCTTTCTCTGCCTCCCACTCTCCTTTCTCCCTCTCGCTTTCTTTCCCTCAATCTTCCTCTCACTCCTTCTCTCCAGGAGCGAATGTTTACATTTCTTGCAACAGACTGCTTCGCGGGGCACCAGTGTTTATTTTGCAACCTGTGGTGATGGCTCGCTTCCTAGACAAGAGCTGGCAGCCTCTTGTTGTTGATTCTTAACATGTGTTCATCCGTTCACCTCCACGGCAGTGCGTCCCCCCCCCCCCCCCCGCACCCAAGACCCTCAAGGTTTCTCGCCGTTCAAAGGCCACGTTGAACCATTTGACATCATGCGCTTTATCGGCCTCCGAGGGGCCATTGGAGACCTCTTTGAAACTGTGAGGAAATACACCAAGTCTACTAAGACCACGCTCGAGTTGCTAAGCGGTACTTATCTTTCAGCACATTGTAGAAATGGGGGCAAAACTGTTCACTAGCTGCTAGGGCAGTTCAAGCAAATTTATTTTTTATTGTCTGTTTTTGCCATTCAAAGCTGTGCTCTTTGCTACAGTTGAAATATTACAACCCTATTGGGAAGCCTCCTCAACTAGTGCATTTTTCAGTGACTCTGCTTTTACTGAAAGTCCTGATGTAATATTTCCTTTTACCCTACTCTAATTCATGCCTTTTTCCTAGGCTTTTGTTCCATCTACTTACACAGGAATAGGCAATATATATGCACAGGTTTTGATCAGATTTGATCTAAGACCATGTCAGGCAGACTCAAACAGGGAATCAAACCAAATGCAATGTGTGTATTGTCAGTTTAGTATTGATAAAAAAAATCACATCTGCAACAGACAAGTCTGGAAAGTCATGTCTTGCACTTTTGTTTGAATCCAGTGACCTATAATGGCTTTGGGAAGTCGAGCGCTAAATGTTTTGCTTGTTTACCTACAGGTCATTCAGTTTGGGGCGGACTGCAACCAGGATGAGTGCACTTGCCGTGATCCGGACGCAGAGGAGAATAAAAGTAAAGCCAAGCACTTGGAAGGAGGAGGAGGTGGAGCTGGAGCTGTAGGAGGAATGCAGTAAGATAGAGGAAAGAAAGAGGCTGAACTTGTATTAAACAGAGTCAAACAACAGACTACACACCACAACAAACAAAAAAAAAATACACGTTTTTAACATTGTAAGGCGAAGAATGTGCTTCATACAATAAAAGGCCATTTTTATTTTATCATAAACGATCTTCCTGTTAAAATCCATCACATATGAGTCATGTTTGTTTGAAAATTTTATTTATATGTTCCTGCACCACTCCAGGCAAACATCCACACCGGAATATATTGTCTTCTTTGCCTGTTAACAAATTAAGGGTTATCTTTACTGCTAGATTCCAGAAAATTATATTTTGAAATTGAAACTCAAACTGAGAAAACCTTGAGGTCTAGTTCAAACAGTGTTAAAAAGCAGTTTATCCACTCCTGTAAATAATAATAAAGTCATCATAATTGGATCAAATCCCTATTGCATATGGATTCAAGTACTTTTGTGGACATGATTAGTTTCAGGCTAAAGAATCCAAAAGAACAGTCTTTGCCTGTGAAAACTGTTCAGTACATGCACATAACTTAAAGTAAGGGCTACTGCTACTAACTGTGGCATCCAGTTAGAGAAACATTAGCATTCTATATAATTATATACTAATGTATTTAAATAATACTGAAGCCAAAACACTTGTAACTTGTCTGATGGCTACTCAAAACCAAATGAGGACTAGTCAAATCAAATTTAAGTCAAGTGGGCAAAGGCAAATAGTTTATAGATTTATGTTGCACCATGCAGAAACATTACTTCCCTGCAGACCAAAATACTAAGATTTGTTACATTCTTCATTACTGTGCATCAGATCCTTCAACATACACTTCTGACATGTAGCTTGTTAGGAATGTAAAGGGAAACATACTGTATCCATAAAGACTAACATGTATAGACTAATATATTTGGATCACCTGACACATGTATTACATCAAGTATTAGTCACACAAGTCAACACTATTTATATCACAAATCCAGTGATACAAACATTTATCTGTATCATACAGCATGTGCATAGGGCTTCCTAAAAGTCATTTTTCTGTAAGTGTGATCAGTTGTATTTACACAAAACACTCAAATATATAAATTATTTCAGTAACCAATCCAATCCAATTTTGACTGTACAGTGTGCAACACTAATGTCAGAATTATTGTTCTAAACCAGAATGGATTTCCACTGAAACAAAGATGCACATAAATTGTCATGTTGCAGAAAGGTTAAGTGGAGAAAGCAAACACTGAAATAAAAAAAGACAATACTTTTGGGAAGCCTGGGCATCAACACAGACTTTTCCCGCTTGCATGCTTGCATATCAGAAAGGTTCTGGTGTCCAGTTGCCAGCAATGATGAAGTACCCCATGCAAATGTTGTATCTATATGAGTGTAATCATGTTCTTCTTTATTTTACAGTACTTTATACTCTATATGAAATAAATAGCAACTTTATATCGACCCTTATGATGTCTGTCTTGATTTCCATTTTTTTAAAGAAGTGTTTTAAACTTTCATCACAGGCTCAATTTCCAAAATAATTTCAAAATATCCTAATTGCTATCTTTCAAACAGATATTTGAACCTCATGAAGACTAAAAAGGTGCTGTGTTATTTTGACATTACTGTCAAATTGCTGTGGATTGCTGAATTGCAGTGGCATAAGGTAGTAACAATGGGCACCAGTGCAGGCTGTTAAGATGGGCCCTTAGGCTACACCTTTACGAAGTCACACACACACACACACACACACACTACGTTTGTGTCCATATCTGTCTATTTGTGTGCCTCGTTTCCTTGTTTTGCACGGTTTAACAACTGATAAGATAAGATGCAGTAAATACCTAATTTAAAGCTCCTTAAATCGATTTCTTTCCATATTAACATTCAACAGTTCTCTTTTTGTGCATCTCTCTCCAACACACGCTGTTGCAGCAGCTATGTTGCGTGCGCCTGGACGCAGCAGTCTAAAGCACCATCATGTGATGGATTTTAAAGTTGGACTGTGTCACCTAGATTTTTGTATTTGCAAAGTCAAAAAGAAAATTATAACGGAGCATGGCTAGTGCTGTCATTGTCATAATCCTGACACGTCACTACAAACAGCTCAATTCAGGAGGTGTCCACAGTGCTGACATTTCAGTACAATAACCTCCCGAATCACGACAACCACATGCCCCTTGGAGAGAGAGGCATTCATTATCGTGAATAAGACAGAAAAGAGGCCTAACCTTACTCATAACACAATACCATGTCCCGAAAACAGGCCGCTAAGGCGCACACACAGTTTAAGACCCACAAGCACAACCACAAAAACAGGTGCTCAGCAGCGACCTGTCCCTGAAATGATATCAGCCACACCAAATTCACTGAAAAACCACTTGTAAAGTTACTCACCTATTTGAAAGGTATCCGACGAGCCTGCATTGAGCGAAATCTTTGATAATATCCTCAGTAATCCAAAACAATCTTAGCTTGCTTGCACGTGTGCTCTGCTAGTCTACTTGGCAGATTTTGCGTTTCACCCGGTTTCTGGAGTCTTGTCACATGACCAAATAGAAACTTAAGACTGGGTTATATACATATTACCCAGCAATCATCACTGGATATGTGGGCTATGTGAAACAAATAGCAAAGCAAATAAGACTAAATTCATTCCGTAGAATCAATTTTTCATATTTCACTGTATACCTTATAGCCTACTGCTTGCTACAGACTTTTGTGTCTGTAGTGTAAGTCTGACACTACGACAAATGGGGAAATGCACCTGTATATATAATACTACTTGATCACTTTGTTAAAAACAAGCAGATGTATATGGGTGTTTAGTGATGACATAAGAGTCTTCATGCATTTTTACCATGTAACTGACAAAGTCTAGCTCATAACTCAACGGCCGCTCCCGTCATGGGCCCCAGTGCAGCTGCACTGTCTATACCTACGCCCCTGCTGAATTGCTAATGGATCCATCCATACGTACATACTCTATATTGTTTGTGTGTTAGTAGAGAATTGAAGATCAAATTGTTTTTGAAAGAGGAGACAAATCTTATTTTTGTGGCTTCAGGCTCCATTACTAGCTTTAGACAGCTATCACATGTAGGGTCCATTTATTTGAATGGAGTATGGCCGAGCAATGCCAATGAGTAGTTTAGATGTGAAAATGCATTTACTTGGTCTAATATAAACAGAATGTTTACAGTATAGCCAAGATTTTAGATTGGGTCTGATTACAGATCTGTATCTGTACAGAGGGCAAATACCACTATAATACATTCACATATAAGATGATATAAAGTGAATATGGGTCAATTCACCAAAATTACAATAAAAGAAACTAAAAAAAACAAAACAGCTGCCAGTTTATATTAATATAAGAGAATTAATTCACTATTTTGACACACCTGCCACTACTATTCTGAGTTTTGTAAAATATTGTGGCAAGAGATCTCGCCACACCCAAGTACCCAGAATGTATTTTGTGCATCCAGCAGTGATGGCAGACATTTTAAGTTTACAAAATTTTTGAGTGGCCTTTTATTGTGGCCAGCCTAAGGCAATACGCATGCTGTCTGATCAGCATCTTGATATGCCACACCTGTGAGGTGGATGGATGGATTATCTCGGAAAAGGAGAAGTGCTCACTAACACAGATTTTGACAGATTTGTGAACAATATTTGAGAGAAATAGGCCTTTTGTGTACACAGAGAAAGTCTTAGATCTTTGAGTTCAGCTCATGATGAATGGGGGCAAAAACAAAAGTCTTGCGTTTATAATTTTGTTCAGTGTACATACAGACTGCTACAAAAAATTAACTGAAGAGCATGGAAAACTAAATAGTGCACACTGACATCTGTTGGTCTCTCTGTAGGCTCTGTTGGACTCAGCTGAAGAATATCTATGCAGCCACATTTCACAATATATTCTTTATTGTTCTTTGAAGTAGCAAAGATCAAAGTGAAAAAGTTTATGATAGCCACATACAGTATAGACACAATAATATCATGCAGATAGTAGATGGTTGGTTCACATTTCTCTCAATGGTCAAAAGGTCTCCATCTTATTTATTTTATGTTCAGTTCCACTGAATTAGTTTGTCATTTAGTATTTAAATCAACCAATCACTTACAGTTTCTGACAAAGGTCCAGTCCACTCTCAGATATTGGATAACATCAGATCAAAGAAGGTAAAGATAACCCTCTGCTCTTTACATCAGAACTGCTATCAGCAGATTAATCCAATTGCTAGACTAAGCTACACAGCAGATATTACAGTACAATATTGTATCTACTAAAGCACATGTAAAATAACATTGTAAAATATCACCTGTTATACATTTATATACAGAAGAAAAACACTGTACTGTGCTATAATGTGATGCATTTATGAAATACTTTGCTGCCTATACAAAAATCTACAAGTGTCCATTTTAGTATTCACATATGAGCTTTGTTAAAAACCAACAACTAATATACATTGGCATTTCTTTGACATCAATCTCCAACATGCCCACTGCACAGAGATAACATAATAATAAAGATAACAAATTGAAGTAAAATAAAAGTTTAAAAAATACTCACAATAACCACAGTATTAGTGGAAATGTCAGAAAAGTCTTTCCAAAGACCTACATTGTGGAATTAAGTTTAAACATACAGAGAAGCAGATGAAAACATTAAGACACTGTTAATTTGCAGTTTCAATACAAAATTTTCACTTTTAACAGCGTTCATTAGTTGGATTGTGAATGATGTCAAAACGGTTAAATGATAAAAGCAAATATTGTCAAATCGTTTGGCAGGTTTTACTGAAAGTAGAGAAAATGAACCAAGGTGTCTACTTCCTTCCTTCCTCTGTGATACCTGTTACTTAGTAAAACAGTTTTAAATGCAACTATCAATACTACATTCAGCAGGTTATATAGCTAAAACTTTATGATAATGCTATGTACAATGTTTTTTGAATTTCTATTCTACTAAAATACCTCCCAGCAGGCCACCCTCTCTAATCTTTGTTTTACCTTTTTCGTAAAATCTCTTTAGCTTCAACTGCTTACATGCTACCTCACCTTTCTCACAGAAACATGGATAACTGTAAAATACTGGCTTTTTCCCCAGTCGCTACATGACATTTCCTTGAATATGTTACACTGGATTAAATGTTTCAACATGTTTGAATGTTCTAGTTCACAAGGAGCACTTCATTTAAAAATGTAAAACAAGATGTGATAACTTCTAAAGCTGCAACTCTTGATAAGACTTGATGTATAAGCAGCTGCGAACAAGACAGCAGCCAATACCAAATCATAGCTGCAGAGATGTTTTAGCCCATGAAGTTCACCTGCTGCGTGTGCTGCAGTTATTCAGAAATACGTACAACAAGCATCAGAAGCTGTAAAATATTAAGCAATGGTTGGAATGTACCAGTGAACATGAAGCTACAATGGGTTTTAACAGTTAAATCTTAACAAGAAAAGTCAGGCGTAAGAACTCAACTATAGCAACTGTATCCAGGCATAAAAAGTCACAATCACTATCAGCTTTGGCCACTTGTTTGACATCAAGAGTTCCCATTTGTAATTTCTCACCAAAAGATATGACAAAGTTTGGATCTAAACAGGCACAAAGGATGTGATGTGTAACCATTTATGCCCCAGAGCTGACCTTTTAATATCCGACTGACTATAGAAGAAGGCAAATTAAATTGCGCTTTCCCATCTAGATGCTACACTACAAAGATGTCAGTGCTTTCGCAATAGGCTCTTCATGTATCAATGTTAAAACAATTATTGTTGAATCCAACAAAGAAATAAAATGCATGGTCTTATGTTTAGTTCAACTAAGATATTGTTAATTTGACAAATTTCTGTTAATTTCATTTAATGTCATCAAATATAAAACAAGATGTAAAATAACATATTTTTAGCTTTTTTCCCCAATTGTGTTACTTTTCACTGTAAGATGGATTTCTTTCATGACATTTAAATAATAAAAATATGAACTGCAAAAGGTGCTCCGAGTTTTTGAAAAGCTGATATCTGATTAATTTCGGTTTTCCATGCTTATTAGGTTCATCCATTCCTGCCTTGCAATATTTCACACCTATACTAACTAAACTAAAAATATCCAAATTGAGAAACATACCAACTTTTAATCAAAAAGCTCAAAGTAAGCCTTTGTGGCTGAGTAAACAAGTTTATCTTGTGCCTGCAGCTGCATCACAGTAAATGGTAAATGGCTGCATTTATAGTGCACTTTTATCCAAAGCACTGCTCAATTTGCCTCTCATTTTCCTATTGACACAAACACTCAGTAGACCTGTGATCAAACTGCCAACCCTGTGATGAGTAAAGTAAGGCTTTATTTGCTTCCCGTCTTTCCTCAGGCTTCCAATGGTCCTTCAGATGCATAACAGTGAAAATATGTATCATTGTTATGCAGTCTGTCAGCAATGAAGACGGACC